TTTTCATTTCGATTTTTTTTATTTTCTTTGTTTTTACAATTTTTCGATTTTTCAATATTCAGATATTTTGTTTTTCCAATTCCAATATTTTCAATTTTTTTATTTCTTTTTGTTTATTCAATTTTATAACAAGAATCTTGTGGAGTTTTCATTTTTAAATTCTTCAGCATCTTTCAATTTGTAAATTTTGCAAATTTTCGATTTGCTATTCTACAAATTTTTAATTTTTCAGTTTTTAGATTTTTTCAATTTTCCATTTCTTCATTTTTCGACTTGAAATTTTTCGTTTCGGTTTTTTATTTTCTTTATATTTTAAATTCGATTTTGAAAGTTTCGATTTTATGTTTTTTGTTCAATTTCAATTTTTTCAATTTTTCGTTTCTTCAGTTTTCCGATTTGAAATTTTTCAATTTTTCATTTTCCTTGTTTCTTCCGTTTTTAAATTTTGCAATTTTTTTAATTTAAAATTCCTGGAGTTTTTAATTTTTCAATTTTTCGATTCTTTAATCTTTCATTTATCCAGATTTTCGATTTGTAATTTTTCATTTCGGTTTTTTTATTTCCTTTGTTTTTACAATTTTTCGATTTTTCAAGATTCAGATTTTTTTCTGTTTCCAATTTCAATATTTTCATTTTTTTACAAATTTCTTTTTGTTTATTTAATTTTACGACAAGAATATAAGTTTTCATATTTAAAGTTTTACCCTTTAAGAAAAGAGAGGGTGGGTGGGCGGGGCTAACTGCTGCTAAGGTACGACTGATTTTGGCAAATATCACCACTAAGAAAAGAGATGGTGGGTGGGTGGGGCTAGTACCTGTTAAGCTAAGGCTGATTTTAGCAAATGACATACCCTTCAAGAAAAGAAAGGGTTGGTTGGTTCGGGACTAGTACCTGTTAAAAAAAAGAGTGAAGCCTTTGTTTAACGCAAATTAAACGTATCGATAAGGACGCCACAGTTTCCCCAACAAGCGTAGCTAATTCTTAAACAAGTGGTGTAAATTTGATTTATTATTCGTAAATTCACAGTTCATGTTAGGATTTTAATCGTTACTGGTTCTAACATAAATTTAGTAGTCATGAGATTGTTCAGATAAAGCACTTGCTAGGAGATTTCATGAGATTTACTTAGTCAGGATTCATCCCTTCTTTATCAAATTGTAAATAACATTTCTGGATGCTTATACTTAAGTGTTACGTTATAACACTTTTTAATTCCTCACACAAGATGCAGTTAAATGAATCTAACTTTGTCTCACTCTGGGAAAGGGCACTGTGAAAAGTGAGATATAATATCGTGGACTGAGGGACGCGGGGATTAAAAGTTTTCCCCTTAGGTAGTTATCATCCGGACATCAACGAGACGTATTTCTCGCGATGTGGGAAAGTTTAAGTAACCAATCATTTGGATCATGGCATAATTTAACATCATGTAAACTCTTTATATGAATCGTTGATAAAGTGTGGCATAATTTAACATCATGTAAATTCTTTGTTTGAATCATTGATAAAGTGTGGCAAATATTAAACTCATCTAATTATGTTAGTTTTGGAATTGTTCACCTCATGTAATTTTTTTCTATCTCACAACTTTGGCCTCAGAAATTTATTTTGTTGTATAATTTAAATTGAACGCAAATTTTCATGCTCTGCTAACCTCTTTTATTTTTTTTTTTTTTTGTCTGCACTAGTTCTACTTCACACCAGACCGTTTTGTTTTTATAAAGCTTTGCTAGTTATTTCCACCACGTAAATATTTTGAACACTTGTTCTGTTGTAGTTTAACATCAGAGTCATAGCAATTGAACATTTAAATGGAATTCGGGTCAATAACACAGGAAACAGAGAGCGCGGTTCCTAGTCGAGCTAGCAGGATTTATCGCGCCATCTGCACAAAAGACGCAGATCTTGAATAAAAGAATAGAATCACCGTCGTGGTGGGAGAACAGCCACAACCAGGAGCCCCAAACTCCACTCGTGCTACGTCACCTATGGGTAATTTGGCTGTGCTCTAGAATAAAATTGATATAGTTCGATCGCCACACTCTTATATCGACCCGGGCGCCCCCCTCAACTTGTTTTTATTAAATTTGTGATATTCAAATATTTGCATTGATTCAGAACGTTTAATTTGATTTCATTCTAAGTCAGGCAAGTTTTTTGTAGTTGAGAACTAAGAGGTCTTCAAACGGCGCAACTTAGTCGCAGCTTTTTTTGTTCTTTTTTTTTGTCAGTGGAGGAATAAATGATTTTGTGTTTTCCATATATTTTGTATTTTATTTAGCGGTACTTTTCCAACCTTGGAGTCCACCAATTTGCATCTAAATGCATTCCGCCACAAAAAAAAGAATTTTTGAAATTTCCGTGGGGTTTTCAAAATTTTTTCACATGACAATTTAAGGCGGGATGTTTGCGTTATCACAGTATCCTCTAAGAAATTTAATTAAATTATTATAAGAAAAGACACTACAGAAAGAAAAAACGGGTTCCCAAAATTGTTAGGTCAGAATTTTCTAAAAATAAAACATCAAAGTCACCCAAAATTGTTTTAAATAGTTTATTAAAAAAAATCTCCATGGGCTCCCAAAATAATACACCATGGTACCTAAGTCTCCCAAATTAAAAAAAAAAGAAAAAACTGCGACACTCAAGACTTTTTAAAATTCATAAAAAATAAAACACTAAAATCTCAAAAGATCTTTTCAAGTTCATCCAGCAACAAAATATGACATTATAATGAGCTGACGTGATTAAACTGTTAAATTGTAAGGGATGATTAGACAAAGTCTGGTAAGCACTTCGCCATCTACACGATATTCCTAACATACATAATTAAAAGTTGACAACAATCATTCCAGTAGTTTCGAAGATTATGTATCTAATAAAAATCGACACGAACGACAGATAGACAGACAAACGGAAACGGGAAACTTATTTTTTCGTATTCTATGAAAGTCGAAAAAAACATGAAAGTGGCAATTCGCCGGATGGACCCTATTACAATATAATAAAAGGAATCTCATTCTAAATTACGAAGTTTTTATTTTTTTTGTTACACAGATAAGTAACTAATTTTACAGGGTGTTTTACCTAATTGTAGAACTTAACTTCCTTCTAATTTATTTTATAGAGATAAACTATATTAGGTATATGGTCAAGTAAAAAATGTTTTTGGGGAATATGGCAATTTCCTCAGTTTTCTTAGAAGATTTCTAAAAATAAATCAAATGAAGTTGTTATTTTGTTAATAATTTTTAAACGCCATCTTTTCATTACTTACAAATTTCCCTTAAATAAAAAAAATTACTATTAGAGTCGAAATAATTTGAGAAGAACACACCGATAAAGTCACTCAGTAGAAGTAAAAGGGTCCAGACGGGTCCACTTGAGAATTAAGGGGGAGGAACTGTACTGGTCATATCGTCAGTGTCGTTCCTCATTAATACCTCTAAACAAGGATAATAATTCTATCTAATTTCAGAAAATATATCTAATACTATTAAACGAGCAAAGTTTGTATATATATATATATATGTAATGGGTTTCTCGAAAACGGCTCTAACGATTTCGATGAAATTTACAGGTTAGGGATTTTTTGGGTCAAGAAATCGATTGATCATAGTTTTAACTTCTGAAAATTACAGCTTCATGCATTTTCAGCAATTTTCAGGCAGTGAATTATATTTGTTGCTAGGCAACATCAGATGACACTACACGAACACGAGATTGTTTTATATAAGAAGTTTGGGTGACAGTCTGACAGTACGTTTGACGTACCTTTTTATCTTCAATTGTACGTACCGAAACATACTCCACTGTATAGAGGACGTTGAAATTCACCTCCTGAGGTGAGAAAATTTACGGAAAACTAAACAGTGAGCGGATAAAAGGCACACGAAAGTGTGTTGAATTGAGATTATTTTGTCAAGCATTCATTTCAGAGGTTCCACGGTCAGTGTCAACATGTGATCGTTTTCGGGGATGGGACCGTGTTATTTGAGTTTTTGGGCTCAACGTTTCGCACACTTTCGTAAATGGCATTTTCGGGAGCAGGGTTGAGATTGAGAAATTAGGAATAACACAAAAGAGCACGGTAACTCAGTATGTTAACCACACCAGAGGCGAAACTCTTCTGGCAGTAAGAATGTGGTTGTGACCTTTTTCTAGAGTCGAGAGAGAGAACTAGGAAAAAAAAACGACAGAGAGAAAACTTGGGTAACAAATGAGATGTCAAACAATAATTCCAGTTTTCTGTTCTTTAATCTCTACATGTCACTTATCAGTGTTTAAAACAAAGACTGCTTATGGAATTTCTTTTTTAATGTGTATTTTTAAGTAGCGCGTGTACTTCAAAATGCATACTATACGCATATTTATCTGTCCTAATCTGATCTAATACTACCAAACGAGCCGAGTGAAACTCGGTCAACCAGATATTATGAAAAAACAGACATACTACGACTCGTATTCTTCTCACAGTAGTTCTCAATTTTTCATTGTTATTTAAACGTCAATATTACTTAAAGCAGTCTCATTTTTAGATGGAACAATAAAACCATGTAATGAAAAAACGGTAAATTTTATGTGAATTGTCGCAATTTAATCAGTTGTGGATCGTTTTTATATTAAAATTATAAAAAGCTGATACTGTTTCCGATTTGTCACAGATGTTGCAAACTTATATGAAAAAATTACACCTCACTGATTATCACATTTTCCGTAGCTCAAGCCCAGAATCCTAATTTTAATAAAGTTCCTCACGAAAATGTCATATTTAACACCCAACGCCCACAAATTAGTCACACTTTTTACAACAAAACTTTTAAATGAGCAAAGTAAATCATCCTTTTATGCTAAAGTTAAGACGAAATTTAATAAAGTTGTTTCGTAATTAAAACAAACGACACAGCGTGAAACAATCACCCCTCCCGTGATAGACAACCCACCACACACTATTCCCCGAACTAGTAATTTTAGTGTTGACTGGTTGGCTCCCGCTACGAAGTGACGCTTATCAACAACTTGTCAAGCCCGGCAAATGTCAAACAGATACATAACCTAATTAACCGTGTATTTTTTCGTTTTTCCATTAATAAATATTTTTCTTTGAACATGTCTGGCATGTTATACGGCGGAGACGAAATCGGGGCTTTGGTATTCGATCCAGGCCACCATTCTCTACGCGTAGGTTATGCCCAGGAGGACACCCCGAAAGCCGAAATCCCCGCCGTGGTCGGCGTAGCCCCAGATGATACCCCCAAAATCGAACCGGAAGTGAAAGCGGAAGACGGAAACGTGTCTTCGACAGCCCCAGGTACGCGATATGAGAAGTTAACCGATAAACACAAACGGTGTAATTGTAGCTTGGAAATACTACATTGACACTACATTTTTGCACACCCCACGTCCCAGCATGGAGCTCCACAGCTACATGAAGGACGGGATGATCGAGAACTGGGACTTGTTTGAGAAAATGGTTGACTACTCGTATGATAAAGTAAGATCAATGGGTGATTTTGCGCAATTTTTGTCTTACTGCTCGTAATTTAGTACACTTATACCAACTAAAGGACATTTTTTGTTGATTGCAACATATATAAAAATAAAGTCTTCTAGGTTAGAATTCAAAAATATAAAAAAAAATGTGTCAACCCATGACTAAAATTACCGATGGCGTCATCCTAAAAATTATTTATTAAACTATATGTTTTTTAACACTTTCTTCCAGATCATCCAGTCAGAATCTCAGTACCACCCAATCCTTTTCTCCGAATGCCCCTGGAACCTGCGTCAAAAGCGCGAAAAACTCACCGAAATCATGTTCGAAAAGTACAAAGTACCTGCTTTTTTTCTTGTTAAGAACGCAGCCTTGGCGGCCTTCGCCAACGGGCGAGCCACAGCTTTAGTAATTGACAGTGGAGCGACCCACACTTCAGCAGTACCTGTTTTAGACGGTTATGTGATCACCAACGCTGTTGTAAAGTCACCTCTAGGTGGCGACTACCTCATTTTGAAAGCCAGGGAGATGTTGGAGCACATTGGGATCGATCTCACACCGGCCGCTTTAATCGCGAGCAAGGAGGTGGTCCGCGACAAAGATAAACCAAAATATACAAAAAAGAAACTCCCTTTTCAACCCACTAACAGCTGGATGGCTTACATGATCAAGAGAACGGTTCAGGATTTCCAGCAGAGCGTGATACAGGTGTCTGAGTCGCCGTTCGACGAGAGAATAGCTGCGGGTTTTCCGACGGTCCAGCACGAGTTCCCTACAGGGTACAGGCAGGACTTTGGCCCTGAGAGGTTCAAACTGGCGGAGGTTCTTTTCGATCACGCTATGTTGGGGGCGGGACATATAGGTACGTACCGAATTAGCGTTAGTGCGCAGGGTCATCAGTCTGGTTTTTTTTGTAGCTGCAACTAGTGCTGGGATGTGCGACGTTGATATAAGACCGGCTCTCTACAGCTCTGTAGTTCTCACTGGGGGAAATTCTTTAGTACAAGGATTTAGTGATAGGTTAAGTCGGGACTTATCATCTCGGACTCCTGGTTCTTTGCGATTAAAAATGATCGCAGCTAATGGTACGGTGGAACGACGGTTTGGTGCATGGGTTGGGGGTTCGATTCTTGCATCAATCGGTACATTCCAACAGATGTGGATGTCCATGCAGGAGTATCAAGAGGCCGGCAAGGCCCAAATTGATAGAAAGTGCCCTTAAGATTACGATTATTTAAGTTATTCCTCTAGCTGACGTTGTCTCAGTATTTTTTAGAATTTTTAATTAATCGTGTAAGGATTTGTAATAAATTGACGCAACGTTTTTTACAAAATTATTATTCTTTAAATAAATATAACTTCAACAACGCTATTTACAACTCAGTCTTTACACTGGTATGTACATGGTGCAAGATTTGATCACACAGGTCTTTGAGAACATTGAAAAAACTAGAACTAGAATCAGCATCGGCGGCCCCTAGTACCTCGTAGCGATTCCTCAGACTTATTATTAACTCTCTTTCGTATTCGTCTTTACACTGAACTCTTAACGAATGCATAGCCGTTAAACACTTTTCAATCGAATCGTGATCATCCTTATCCGTAATCAACAACCCCAACAACAACTTATTCAACTTCTTACACCACTCGTGCTCCAAAATCCGCTTAGTCAAATCAAAACTCACATAGTACTTGCTCATTTTGTCATCATTCCCCGCCCACTGATGCTCCACTAACAAATCAGAAACCATCGTCACCACTTTAATCTGAACTCTTATATTATCAGTGTCGAAAAATTTCGACAGCACCGACAACCCTCCACTCTCGATGAACTTCTTCTGCGCCGCCGGGAACGACCTCAACAACGCCCCCAAAGCCGTCACCGCTCTCAATTTAACCCCCGAATCCGACTCCAAATTAATCAAGCGCAACAAAATCGCAATGGCGCCCGTTTCAAGCGCGTGTATTTTCGGCGGAACGTTGTTCTGCATCAACGCCGCCATCAACTTCAACGTCCCTTTCCTCACGTCAACCCTACTCGAGTTCAAATTCTTGTAAATGATGTCCCCGAATCCGCTCTGTTTGACAAACTCGTGCGCGTTATCGTACTGATGAGCCAAAAACTCTAGGTCCTCTAGAATTTTCAACAGCTCCACTTTGTCGAACTTTTCCGCGCTCGCGACCTCTTTGTGGTTTTTTATCAAGTCCGCGATCACTTCGGCGTCTAGTTTCGGCGTGAGGTTGAGCTCGTTGAGGCTTTTTTTAATGTCGTCGTACGTGCGATACTGGTTTTTGATTTTTTTAAACTCTTCTGGGGAGAAATCGTTTTTTAGGTTTTTCACGGCCTCTTCGAGGGTGGACTTTGGGATGGGGCTTTGGGAGGGGGTTTCTTCCTGGCGTGTGTCTTCGGGTATGGCCGAGAGCGCCTTGGTTTTGTCCTCGAGTTTGTCATCGTCGTCTAGTAATTTCGCCTCGGTTTGGCCGGTCTCTAGGTTTATCCGGACGTGGAGTCCTTTTGGAATTTTTTGACCTGTCGTGAAAAAAGGTTCGCTGGATTTACTTTTTTAAGACTGGGGGGTCCAGGAAAATACTGCCAAAACAAAGTGAGCGGGTGGTTTTGTGAAAGCTACGCGGCTCAGGCTAAACGGGAATTCTATGTTTAATTAAATTTTTACATCACATTGCTCTTCGCATTCCTACAGCTTCAATACCGTGTAGTTTTTATTAAAAATAATGGATATTCAAGATACGTAATTTATAACTAAATCGTCCTTGGCACAATTGCAGATTGTTTTAAATTCAGGTTCACTTGTCTGCCTTGATAATTATAATTACACTGGTCTATAATGTAAAATCATCAAGTAAAATGGGTGTTCAGATCAAGTTTAACACGCTGATGTTAAATGAAATTTTACACTGAATTATATATTTTTTATTTTTTCCTACTGATAAGTAAATGATACATTAAAATAACGCACAATACTTAAATGTAATTTGCACTGTCTAGTGGACCATAGTACGACAATGACTTAAGTAACTCAAAACTGGCGCAATTCAACCAGAAAGAACTAAAAGCGTCTAAAAAAAATCTACCTATTATGGAACAATGGGCTGAACGCAGATTTTAGAGCTGATGGTTTATCCTTTCAAGAACTAAAACAAAATCCATTAAATTGGAGCTTTTCCTAGATTCGAGTGGATTCTGAAAGTACTTTTACGTAACACGAATTCAACTTTCTACTCAGTACACTAAAATGAAACTCATAACACGAATTTTACTACATGCAGTGAAAAATACACAGCAAAGGAACGCCTGCGGAGATGGAGATCTGAAGGTTAGTAGAATATTAATGAGTGGCGAAGTTCTACTTGAAATCTGTCGCTTCTATAACTTTGGTGGTTCTTCAGCTGAACATTACATCAAGCATGACTCAAAAGTAAGAAAAACGTATTTTTGTAGACCAGTGTTATTTTAGTCTTTATGGAAACCAAAATAAATAAATAAAAGTCGTATATGAGATAATACATATATACTATATTTAAAAACGAGTACTTCTGCAATTCTCAATAAACTATGTCATCCCGTTTAGCCTTAAATATTATTAAAATAGACCGTAGATTTCATCAAACCTGATCCCTTGGTGAATCCGTTAGGCAATATTTTACTCCCTCTTCCTTACTTTCGTTAGTAATCAAGCACAAATTACAGCTGTCTCTTCTGCTTTTCTACAATATGGTGGCCCTCACAACTCATTCTTTCTACCTATACTACGTTAGTACGTGATACTGTGCCTACGTTAATCTCAAAAGCTACCAATGTGAAAGCGTGCTCTGAACCCAAACCCGCCCCTAATCTGTGCTGCTAAAAGCGCTAAATCTCTGTGAAACTGTGTAGACAATGGACAAACACAACTTCTGGTGATAACATGCATCTGTGCCGCAACCAAATCACTATCATGTGAACGATAAAACGGTGACAAGTCTTAAAATCTACAAAAACTACCACTCACCTTTCTTAACACCTTGCCACTCTTTGGTAGGAACAAAAATATCGTTATTGTCTTCGTCTTCATCGCACCGGATTAAAAAGACAGATACGAGGACTAGGAAAACACTCAATTTTTGAAACATTATCGCTTACTTGTGCCCACTGATTGAATAAAACATTGTTTTCACTTTGGGTATTTATAGGTTACAAACAGCAACTGAATGACAGATGGGACTTGTGTCCATGTTATTGGTCCACGTTGGATGTTGTTTTGACTATTTTCTTGTTTGCAGGAAAACGTCAAGAAATTTCGCGCAATGAAGCCGAAGCGACTAGGAAACTACTCACTACGGTTTTTACGGAATTTACGGATTTTGTCCGTGCCGGTAGGAACGTACACGCATTTTTCGAAATGATTTTAGATTTTGATTTGAATTTGGGCGTCGCGCAGTTGCTGATTTGCGCAGGATGTGGCTCGGATATCGCGGGACAACAACTTCAAGTATCAATTTCTCCCACAAATAACCGAAATAAAATACAAGATTCACCTATTTACGTTACACAAGACTAGCAAATGTGTGTGTTTAAGATCAATCGAAATTATGACGAAATTAATTAATTTAGACTGTGTAAACTGGGGGTGTGATTTGAATCACCTCCCTTAGCCCCGCCCTCTGTCCATTTGTTAACGGCAATCGCCATTAGCAAACGCACTCTCTTTTCGTCTTCGATCCGTTTGCTTTGCCGGCTTCTAGTCACGTGCAGTGCTCTAATTATCCACAAACATCTATAAATTACAATGGCCGATGAATATTTCTTTGGTAAGTTGAACCCTATTAAACCTTCGTCTTTCCCTCAACGCGAATCTTTTTGCCCAAAACCCGATTTTTACGCGACAAAACTTGAACTAAAATTGTTGTGATGCCGGCTATTTGCGCGCCATTATTGACGGCCATTGTTTACATTATTTCTTCGTATTTTTGCAAATAAAATCGAAAGGGCTTCGAAACCCCCACGTCGTTTCGCTTGTTTGCATTTTTCGCCCGAAAATGCGTGATTGCCGCCAAATCGCGCGTCTTTTCCACCAAACTTGTTTTTTTCGTCGTGCCCATCAAGTGCGTAATGGGTTTTTCTCATGGGTTTTCACTTGTTTTAGCGTTAACGCTGAAAGGCGCGAAGGCTAGCGAGGTGTGGGACCCAGAAGCAAAAGGCGCTGAAGACTACCAGGGTGGCCACAAGTTGATCATTAAGCAGGCGTTGATCGGGCCAGAAGCCACAGAAGGAGAGGTGAATGTGGTGCAGGTTGAAGCCATGACTTGGAAAGACTCTGTTAAAATACCGATAGCCTCGTTGAAAGCCGGTGGAGCAAACAACCAAGTGCTTTTAGATTTGTCATTCCCTGATCCTCCAGTTACGTTCAGCCTGGTGCAAGGAAACGGACCTGTACACATTATTGGACACCATTTGATCGGTAGCCCGATTGAAGAGTTTGACGAAATGGACGAGATGGAGGAGGAGATGATCGAGGACGAGGAAGGGGAAGAAGGGGCTGTGAGTTGTTTTGTTTATTTTTTTGATATTGATTCTACTATTCATCATTTGTGTTTGTACTGTTGGTCAAGTGTAACTGAGTTGTATTTGTAGGATGAAATGAAGAATAGTAGAAAAAACAAACGAAAAATTTCAAATGGAAAGTCTAGTGATAAGGTGTGCTTATCAAAGTGCACTGTAATTTTTTAATTAATTTTTCTTGTTTTGTAGGAGGAGGATGAAGATGATGAAGAACCTAAAAGCAAAAAAGCTAAAACAGTTAATAATTCAAAAGGAAAGACTCCTGTTAAGAACAACAGCAAGGCAAAGAAGTAATTAAGTTTTTCTCTTTTTTTAATCATTTCATTTTATCATTAATACTGTTTGTCTCATCGGAATTGGACTTTATTTTTGTGACCTTTTTTAAAGGACCATAACAGTAGGTGATGTTGAAGTGTTTTGACATTGTCCAATTTCTTTTATTCCATAAGTAATTTTTATGTGAAGTATGTAAGATGAAAGAAACCTTTTAGGTATTTATTTGTGAAATTCAGTTGTTTGTATATACTACAATCTCATTAAAATAGTTTTTTTCTAATAAAAGCTGTGTTTTTATGTACCTGTTTCAATTTTCTTACTTTAATTGAATCTGAACTCACATTGGAAACAAGTATGAATTTTTTTTGAACTTGGTGTTGTGAGGTCAAATTTTGAAAAGTGAGTAAGCTTCAGTCACAAGAACAGGTAAGTACGACAGAAATTAACTAGGCAGCATACAATACACCCTCTAAAAATGTTTTAAAAGAATGAAGTTTGACATCAATTTAGAAATTTTATCTAAAAAATCATATTCATTTGATTACCTTTAGTTCAAATTAAACGTTTATTTAAATCAGCAGACCCTAATTCAGGTTAAAACCAACTCCAAACAAATTCATTTGCATACAATTTTGTCGAAAAAAAGTTAGTGATTTTTTTGGATACTTTGATCGATCTAGTGGAAAACGTCGGTAACGTTGGCAACGCTACCAATGCTTCATTTAGTGCTTTTAGGTGCTTTACCTTTACTTCAATTTTATAACCTTATTATCCTGTAAGCAAGATTGTTTATATCGTAGATTTTGCCACCAGTTTTGTTTAGTAATTGTGTATCCTTTGAAAAACTGACATTAGTTGCCCCCTTCCTCAAGTTTTCGCCGATTTAAACTTTTTTGCACAAAAAGCGAATTTATTTGAATTATAATCAGTTACAAAAAACTACTACCAGTTTAAATGACGACCGTCAAAAAATAAAACCGACAATGGGAGAAAACCAACAAAGCAGGTTTGAGAAATCGTTGGGTCTTTTGACCACTAAATTCGTCAATTTGTTGCAAAAGTCAACAGGTGGTGTGTTGGACCTTAAAGTGGTAAGTGTGATAAAACTGTCTGCACATTGTGGATTTAACCTTGCTCTATTCGATAAACAGGCCGCTGATTTACTAGCCGTAAGACAAAAGCGAAGAATTTACGACATCACCAACGTTCTTGAAGGGATTGGTTTGATCGAGAAGAAAAGCAAAAACAGTATTCAATGGAAGTAAGGGTAGCTTGACAGGTTTATTTCTGTTACTATAACGTGATTTTGTAGACCATACACTTACAAAGATGCTCTACCTGGGTGTAACACTCAAGAGTTTGCTTTAAAAGTGAGCAACCTTAAGAAAGAAATTTCCAAATTAGATGAGTTTGAACAAGAGTTGGATAAACACAAATTGTGGATTGAGCAAAGTATAAAAAACACGACTGAGGATATCCAGACGCGGAGATATCTATACGTGAATAATGAAGATTTGTCAAAAATATATATCGAAGACAACACTGTTTTGGTGTTAAACGCACCAATTGATGTCACAACAATATGTTACCAGGTAAGTTAAAGCGAAAACGAGGCTTTGGTGTAAGAAATGGTTTCAGAGTTCAAATAATGTCAACTTTTTGAAAATTCAATCCCGGGGGACCCCAGTCGCCGCGAATATTTTGAGCATATTGCAAGACCCGGAGGCGCAAATGCAGCGCAAACGATCCCACAGGGTAATTAAGCTAAATAAAAAATTGCTTTTTCCTGATTTTTAACAAACACTATTGTTTAGGTATCTGTGAAAAGCGAAATCGAACAACCTGACTGTAAAAGAAGACACTATGAAGACGATGAACACGGAGATTTAATAGCAGCTGAGATTTTATTCAAAAAAATCTCAAACGATGTTTCCACCACCCCAGACTGTAAAGATTTCCTCACGGAAAAAGGTACCTGAATGTTGTTAAATTTTACAATGTGTTTTTATTTTTTTGTTTGCAGAGTCTTGTTCATCAATTAATTTAGATCCTTTGGGTTTTAACCAGGACTACACATTTGACCTGCTGGAAAACGAAGGCGTTCGTGATTTATTTGACATAAATTCTATACCTGTACAATAAGTCTAATTTGATTAAGTGTATTTTTAAGTCAATATATTAATTATAGCAATAAATTTGGCCTTCCGTTTTAATACACTGAAAGAACGAATTACTGTAGCTAAATTTTGAATTTTCGCGGGTTAATGTGTGTGCGCATGCGTCCGTTATGGATTAATTTCGCATCACTCGTAATTCACGAAAACTGAAGCCTCTCTAACAATATTTTCGACCAATCTACAGCCCCGTAGCTAGAAAACTTATTCGGGGGGGCAAGTTTGTCGACAGAGGGGGCTTCATGTAAATATATACAGGGTGTTATTGAAAGGTACGTACAACAAAATTGACAGTTATTGGCAAAGTCTAAGGAGTCTGAAAAATTTATTTTGTGTTATCAAAATTATAAGGGGAAAATTAATCCTTATCCAACCGTTTTAGACGCTACTGAAAAATAAGTAGGTAAAATTAATTTATTTTACTAAATCCTAGCAACTGTAACAATAAAACTTTTGTTAAGACTAAATGTTGCTATAGAAACGAAAGGTGATCTTTTTATCAGAGGCGTACAACGAATTTGGACATAAATTTTAATAATGTTTATTTCTAAAGGGAAAACACATTTACCTCAACTTTTTTTTACTTTTAGCACCCAGACTTCGAGACCAATTGTCGATTTTATTTTGTACGTACCTTTCAATAACACACTGTATATTTTAATAATAGACTCAGATAACTACTTTATTTTTTCTCAGTTTTTACATTTGAAAGAACATTAAAATAATTGTAAACATCGATTTTTTACGCTATTAAATTTTCGTAAAAACCTGTCGAAGCCCAAAGAATTGGTACGGTACTTTTCAAAAGCTAGAAAAACCAAGTTTTCCAATCTTTGATGCGTCATTGAATGCGACCTATTGTGGTTAAAACAGAGAATGTAGATTCACAAACAGATGTACTGCATCCAAAAATTCGTGCAGTGGCCAATAACACTAGGTTGGTAACAACCATTTTGTTTGAGTTTATTTTTTTGCATGTTTAATAGTAGGCTATGGAATAAAATGTGACATAACAGTTCATTTTTTTATACGGTCAACATCAAAGTTAGGGTGATATTGTCAAATAACATACCCTGTAAGAATATAAAGGGCGGGCGGGTGGGGCTAGTAAAGATGCTTCGCCAATCGGCATTATATTGAAATTTTATTACTAATTTGAAATTTATAATGTGTAAATCTTCCAGGGGGGGCAACCGCAATTGCTAGGGGGGCCTCAGCCCCATCTTGCCTCCCCGTAGCTACGGGGCTGCCAATCTAGGGGAATTTTATTATAATTTACAGAAATTTTCGTAATTATTGTAATATTATGTAACTTTTAGGACAGTGGAACTGGATTAAATTTGAAAAAAAAACTTTTAAATTGGATGCTGCTTTCAGTATGTAAAGAGCATCATAAATTTCGGGTAAATAAAAATTGGCTTCAGGTTAAAGAAATAGAGTCATTTTTAAACGGAATGTAAAACACGCTGTTCTGGTTCTTCAAAGCTTGTTAAAGATTGCTGGGCGGTGCTTATCTACATTAATTACAATAATTTATTTTGATGACACGTTAATCATATGACCACTGTAATTTCTGTCTTTATAAAAAATCCAAAGGCCTGGTTTATATAAAAAATCGCAAAAAGTGGAACGATTAAATAGTCGATTTTAGTATCTACCATTTCTAGATTTAGTGTGACCTCACGGGAACGGGAAAGGAAAGAGTAAGGATAAATTGACAACGCATTTTACAAGCGTTTCAGATATTTATTTCAACTTTCACAAACAAAATTTTTTATAAATAAATAAATAAATAAATAAATAATAAAAAAATCGTCGAAATTTTATCACAACTTATTTAAAACGATTATTTTTAGTGCGTATGACACCTACGCAGGAACAGAATTCTAATACTGCTGTTCAACAAAACGAAACTAAAAATGTCATGGGAATAACCTAAATTGGCCTTACTGACTAATCACATTTTCTAGGGATTTCATCACCGTTCACCTCCTCCACCTCGAGTTCCTCTAGATGATCCCAGTCTAGGTATTTCCATGAATTTTCTTTGTGTCAGATTTCATACGTTTTCAATTTCAAATTAATATAAATTACAATAAATAGAACCAGAAGTCATTTGGCGTACAAATAAATACAACTTAGTTTTAATATCTCAGATTATACCTATGACACAGTAAATTAAAATTTAGCTTTGTATTTAATACAAAAAAGCTAAATTACCACAACAACGACATTTTTAAGTTTATAAAAACAACAAACAAGAAGTTTTTTCAGTTGCGCTTATTTTTAAATTGTGTATAATTTTTTAGGTAAAACTGCGTGAAAAGATAAAGACTTAAAGCTGTATTGCCCGTGTAATACAGCAGCAACGATTTAGGATACGAGCAACTGAAGTTAAACAAATGAACAATAAATGTACAAATAAAGAACGAATGTTGGATCTAAAAAAATACGATAAGTAAATTTAGGTGTTAAAACTGGCTTTAAACACTTACCATTTGCAATAGTGTTAAGTACTTCTTCCACCAAATAGTTCTGCAGCTGTCCAGCGACGTCAACAAGTAATACGTGTACATCACAAAATGAATAAACGTGTTCCAGAGAAAAACGTAGTAAATAACACCACCTGGGAAATATTTAACACTAGCCCACCCTGTTACGACCATTCCTATGTGATGATGTATGTGTAGAAACGAGACGTGGCTTTGCTTTTTGCGCAAAACGAAAAATACCTGCCAAAAATTACAGTCGTGGACTATAATTAAACAAAAATGGTAATACTCACCGTATCCAACAAGTCCAAAAATTTTAGTATTAAATAGAAAAAGTGTGCCCGCTGAATTGACAAATCTTCGGGACTGTCTGAAGCGTTTACCGGACTACAGCAAAAATTAAATAGTGGAAACAGCTTTATAGCCTGAAAAATAAAGTTAGCGCCGAATTGAAAATTTAGTTAACTCACTATTGCGAAGCCGATTCCGTTTAAAATTATTTGTGCCAGGTTGTAAATTACTATGACGGTTTTCAACCCGAATGGTTCTCTGTTTTTCATTAACCTCGGGCCTAACTTAAACACAAAGAGGGTGTACAGACTCACTAGGGAAACGAGCTGCCAAGGCGACTGCATCAGCGGGTAATTGTTTATGTGTTGATCTACAAAAAAAAAAAAAAAAATAAGAATCATATTTGTATTTAAATACTAAATACCTTTCAGTCGCAGGAACGACATGTCCAAAAATACAGAAGAGTTGTGGGAAGTCATTTTTGACTTTACTCGTCAGCGGTTCGTCTTTAACTGTTTCCGCGGCTTTGGAACATTTGAATTTATAGACTTTAATTTTTTTGATGCCGAAGATTAGTAGAGAAGTTCAGGGTCACCTAGCGAATATTAAAAAACTGATTAAGCCTGGATTGGTTAACTTTCACGCCTTTCGCAGTTTCTGTAAATTTTTCTTTCAGGTATGCGTAGAAGATAAAATTTCTCTAAATTGATCAATAAACTTGCACAAAAAATTATTTGAAGTAGAACAAAAGTGTGTGAAAACAAAATGTTTTTTTGATGGTAATTTTTTTTTTTTTTCGAATAAATCGATTTCCTCAAAACATAAAGATCTTTCCCGAAGTGTGATTTGTTGTATGTGTCACTTAAATAATCGAATATACAATTAAATTTGCATAATTTATGATAATTAACTCAGAGATTACAAGTAGGTTTTAGCAGGTAGGCCGGAATCGTGCGTCGACACGTGTATGTGATGTGTGAACTAGATTTACTTTCATGGTTTTATAAAAAAAAGTGCGGATAAAAATATACCAATTAAAAGTGACTGCTAAGTAGTTCTTATCTGACTTTATGTAGATTTTAATCTACATAAAGTCAGATACAATGGGGGAGTCAAGTATACTTGACTCCCCCATTGTTAACAAAATTCATTACTTTTCATTTTTATTACCTACAAATTAGTGTCTCAGTTTTCAGTTTGAAATGGTGGCAACTTTTTTCTCTGAAAGGTAGCTTTTTTGGCATTTACATAAAATGAGTTAATCGGGTCTTATAATAAAATCAAAATTCTGTTCCAACCAGGTAAAAAATTATTAGCTGACGCATTTTGCATCTTTTTTACCAAAAATTAGTAACCATGTTTGAAAGGTTTCTTGAAAAAAGTTATGTGTAACTGACTTTGTTGCTATCCAACCCACATAGAATCTAATTTTCTACTCCATTCTAACTATAAAATTGGTTATAGATACGTACTATAACATCAAAACCGAGTTTATTTTTGTAATTCTTGTATTAATATTAGTTATAATTTTAACTTCGACACGAATCCACATATGTGACAAAAAGTGAACATCATCGCCTTGACACACAACTTTTGGTGAGAAAATATTTTATAACAGTAGTTTCGAATAATGGTTTTTACATTTAATCCGTGTATTTATATCCTTGTTAAAATTCATCCTCATTCCAAAAATGTGAATGCAATTACTTTGGTGTATCATAATGGACACACCTCAACATTATGCACCAGTATGGTTTACCACAACGACCATCATATTAAACCGGAATAAACCGGAAAAAGTCGCTTATTCCGCCGTTTCCAGTTGAACTCACCAGAGAATGACCCAAACTTGAAAAAACGTTTTTTGTTTCAAACAATAGTGAGATTTACATCGATTTTTAACAATTTTGTTTTATACTTGTTTATATAAGGTTATATTCAGCTTCCGTTACCGACTGACCATTCTTCATCCGCGTTCTTGATTTCCAAAAAATCGTCCCCTCACTAATAATAAAGACCGGTGTAGAATTTTATGTTGAAAGGACATCCGTCCTAATTAACATAGGCCTAGCTAATTAATTCTCAGGTTAATTTAATATTTTGTATTCCTTTCAAATGACTCAGAATTTTAAACGCAGCCGCTCTTGAGCACGATAGGCGTTGAACTGATTGAAAAGACTAACTTTATGAGCGACATCTGGACATATAATTATAAGCAATATATATCAAAGTTCCCAGTAATTACCTGCGTGGATTTTTATCACATAATTACCACTATTGATTTTAATCGCATTTTTCTGTTTTCATTAATTTCGGTCCCGTTTCCCAAATGTCACAGATGGTTTACGATCCGACATTCTAAAAAGACGAAGTAGTTCGTTTAATGTAATTCGACTGTAACTAAGACAATACAGTAATATGTTTGACCAGAATTTTTTAATTAATTCAGATTTACGGACACCTGTACATATTCACTAAAATAATTGTCAAATAGTTTTTAAAAAGAATTGTTACCCACGTGATTTTTACTCACGAGCCTAAGCTAAGAAAGCATAGTAATCGAGTCCATCGGACGAATTGCCATTTTGTTCAATTGTGGTTTATTTAATAATTTTAATCCTCTGTTTTGAGAAGACACTCATTCAAATCAATAGAGAAATATGTACTTTGCAATTACAACGAATGCAAAATTCATAACAATTGAGATCGGGGCGGGTGGGTGTTGTTTAATCTTTGTTTTTTTTTTAATATATACAATTTTCTTTGAACACAGGATAGATAAACATGTTTTCAGTTTCTTGTTGGGAAAAGAAGACTTCGTATATTAAGAAAAACTGGACCAAATATTAGTCCCGCCCACCCACCCCTTCTCAATTGTGATGAATATTTTATTCATCGTGAGCTAAAGTGCGGAGTTTAGTTGCAAAATCCTGATTTCTCTACAAGAAATTACCATATGAAATATGTTTTTAAAAGGATATAATGTTTTTGAGAAATATTGATCGGTCTGATTAGAAATGAAAAACTCATCACAAGTGAGATCGGGCGGGTGGGTGGGGTTTAATTTTTTTTGTTTTTCTCTTTAATATATAGAGTTTTCTTTCAAGAACAGGATAGTTAAACATTTGTTAGTTTCTTGTTGGAAAAAGAAGACTTATTCGTATATTAAGAAAAAATGGACCAAATATAAGCCCCGCCCACCCACCCCTTCTCAATTGTGATGAATATTTTATTCATCGTGAGCTAAAGTGCGGAGTTTAGTTGCAAAATCCTGATTTCTCTAGAAGAAATTACCATATGAAATATGTTTTTAAATGGATATAATTTTTTAGGGAAATATTGATCGGTCTGATTAAGAATGAAAAACTAATCACAATTGAGATCGGGCGGGCGGGTGGGGTTTAATTTTTTTTTTGTTTTTTTCTTTAATATACAGAGTTTTCTTTTAACAACAGGATAGTTAAACATTTGTCAGTTTCTTGTTGGGAAAAGAAGACTTCGTATATTAAGAAAAAATGGACCAAATATAAGCCCCGCCCACCCACCCCTTCTCAATTGTGATGAATGCTTCATTCATCGTAAGCTGAAGGGCCGAAATTAGTTACAAAATCCTCATTTCTATACAATAAATTACCATATGAAATAGGAGTATGTTTTCAAAAGGGTGGAATTTTCTAGAGAAATAATAAATGTTATAATTAAACTCCGTCCCTCGTCTGATTAGGAATGAAAAACTCATCAGAACTGAGATCAGAGCGGCTGGGTGGGGCTTAATCTTTGTTTTTTTTTTAATAAATGGAATTTTCTTTCAACAACAGAATAGATAAACATGTTTTCAGTTTCTTGTTGGGAAAAGAATACTTTGTATATAAAGAAAAAATGGACAAAATATAAGCCCCGCCCACCCACCCCTTCTCAATTGTGATGAATATTTTATTCATCGTTAGCTAAAGGACGGAGTTTAGTTGCAAAATCCTCATTTTTCTCCAAGAAATTACCATATGAAATATATTTTCAAAATGATAGAATTTTTTAAAGAAATGTTAATGGGTCTAATTAGAAATGAAAAACTCATTGCAATGGAGATCGGGCGGGTGGGTGGGTTTTAATTTTTTTTTTAATATATAGAGTTTTCTTTCAATATCAGCATAGTTAAACATGTTGTCAGTTTCTTGTTGGGAAAAGAAGACTTCGTATATTAAGAAAAAACGTACCAAATATAAGGGAATTTTTTTTTTTAATATATAGAGTTTTCTTTCAATATCAGCATAGTTAAACATGTTGTCAGTTTCTTGTTGGGAAAAGAAGACTTCGTATATTAAGAAAAAAAGGACCAAATATAAACCCCGCCCACCCACCCCTTCTCAATTGTGATAAATGCTTTATTCATCGTAAGCTGAAGGGCGGAGATTAGTTGCAAAATCCTCATTTCTGTACAAGAAATTACTATATGAAATAGGAGTATGTTTTTAAAAGGGTGGAATTTTCAAGAGAAATAATATGTTATAATTAAACTCCGCCTCTCGTCTGATTAGGAATGAAAAACTCATCACAATTGAGATCAGAGCGGGTGGGTGGGGTTTAATCTTTGTTTTTTTTTAAGACTTCGTATATAAAGAAAAAATGGACAAAATATAAACCCCGCCCACCCACCCCTTGTCAATTGTTATGAATATTTTATTGATCGTGAGCTAAAGGGGTTAGGTTAGTTGCAAAATCCTGATTTCTTTACAAGAAATTACCATATGAAATGTGTTTTTAAAAGGACATAATTTTTTAGAGAAATATTGATCGGTCTGATTAGGAATGAAAAACTCATCACAATTGAGATCGAGCGGGTGGGTGCGGCTTAACCCTGTTTTTTTTTTCTTTATATACATAGTTTTCTCTCAACAATTTTTTTCTCGCAAAGAACATGAGATATTATAATAAAAAACATAAAGTCAACCTATTATTCAATAATTTTGAATTTTACTCCTAGTCATGTAGAATAACTTGTACTTTTTCGTTTTTCTCGAAAAACTGAAGAAAGGAAAAACTGAAAAGTCTAAAAATTGAAAAAATGAAGAAAATAAAAAACTGAAACGAAAAATTGCAAATGGAAAAATTAAAAATTGAAAACTCGAGAAACTCAAAATCGAAAAAATGCAAAATCTAGAAATTGAACTGAAAAATTAAAAAATTCAAGTCAAATATGCTGCGGGAACGTTATTTACGCCACTGGTTTTTAGTTTATAGAGGTTATCAGAAAACAAAAATCGCAAAAAAAAATAATTTTTCAAAGAAGTGCACTTCATGGGCGAGGGAAGTCCTGTTGAAATAACCTTCGACCAATTTTTTTCTTCATCTGTGATTGTCTTTTTCGTCAGAAATGTTTTAGTTCACTCAAGATAACCTATGACCTATGGCATAAATGATTATTTGTGACTAATATGTGTAGAATTCCATCGCACATACTTAGGGTAATATTAATTCTAGGTATTTCGATAACATAATTTGAATTAGATGAACAAACAAAAATTTTCCTTAAACTGTCATTGTTTAAATTAACATTGCGCAATATATAATCGGTACTCAGCGAGGTATTTTTATTTTAGCAACACAAAGCTTGAAACAAACAAAGGTTAGCGCACATGTCACAAAATCATTTTTCCACAGCGTTGAAAAACAGGGCAATAACCTTAATACACCACTTGAATTAAGAGTTATCTATCAGAAAATTGTAATATATGTACAGTGAAACCTTTTCATCGTGAACTATAATTTTATCTTATTTTTATGCAGCTCTAAAAATTCAAACCGTGTTAGTATTTAATTTAAGCAAAAAATTTAAAAGTGTTGCTGAGTAAGAAATTAGTTTGCTATATTCTGAACTTTGATTTCTGTTTGACCTTTGAAATATATGTTAATAATTGGTTTTTATCTCCCCCATTTTTGTTCTTGATGACCCACTATATTCCTCTGAACTTAACACTTACGACAGACTAATAAGTCTAGTTAATTTTAATCACACGATGAATGAATGATGTCTGTAGTGATTTTAATCGATTTTTTTATGTCGTAATTGGGTTGATTTGTTTCTTTATATATTCAGTCAGGGTCTCTTGAAAAAAGCGACTTAATATTTTAACTTATGTATACATATAATTTTAGAAAAAAATTATGGTCAAATTTTTGGATAATAATGGGTTGTCGGAATTAATAAGGTCGGTTGATACGTACACATATCCCATGCCACTTTTAAAAAAAAATTACCTGACACTTATTAAAGTATTTATTTATTTAATACACGTTACAATTTTTCCTTAAGCTACAATTTTATGATAATTCGCTATTAAACAAATTAAGTAAAAATTTAAGTCGTAGGTATATATAAAAAATTACTTAAATTTAATGTTTAGCCATTTAAGACACATGTTCTTATTAAAGCTTCACAAACCGAATATGGATCACAGTTTGATGAAGGTCTCCTGTCTTCCAAATAACCCTTTTTCTCTTCGGCGCACCCACGAGGAATCCTCACGCTCGCTTTACGATTGGCAACACCTAATACATAATTTTTCATAAATTTCTTACATTCACCATTAACAATAACAGTACCTGACGTAAAGTTGTGAATGGAAGAAGTTTCATGACTTCCCGTGAGACGTCTTTCATTATCCTTTCCCCCTCTAGGATCATAAGCTTCAATGTGTTGTCGATGATTTTTAGCTAGTTTTTCAATCGCTTTTTCAATGTCACTAATTAAATTTATAAACATTATTCATCCTTGAGATATTTGAGAATCGCTTACCGCAGTCCTCCTTCGTCTCTCATCGCTTTAGTGGAGAAGTTTGTATGGGCACCGGCTCCGTTCCAGTCCCCTTCAATCGGTTTAGGGTCAAACGTTACAATAACCCCAAAATCTTCAGAAACTCGGTGCAAAATATACCTAGAGACCCAGAGCTGGTCAGAAGTCGCGATGCCTTCACACGGTCCAACTTGATATTCCCACTGAAAACGAAAAAACCTAGTCACACTTTTGAAAAATAAAATATACAAAATTAGTACCTGTGAAGGCATAACTTCGGCGTTTGTACCAGAAATGTTTATTCCAGCGTACAAACACGCACTGTAATGAGATTCAACTATATCGCGTGCATATACTTTATTGGCTCCTACGCCACAATAATAGGGCCCTTGAGGTCCTGGAAAACCCACTTTGGGCCAACCCAGAGGCCGCATGTCCATATCCAGAAGGGTATATTCCTGTTCGATTCCAAACCATGGAATCGTATCTCTGGCAGCTTCCATTGCCTCTAAGCACGATTTTCGCTTATTGGTGGCCGTGGGTTGTTTGTTGTATCTGTAAGTGTCGCAAAGTACCAATTTGTTGTTTCCTCCGGTAAATGGGTCGTTGTAGAGGGCAACTGGGTGTAAATAGGTATCTGAATTGGCCCCTTCCGCTTGAAAACAAGAACTTCCATCGTAGTTCCAAATGGGCAATTCTAACAATTTAACAAAAATTAGAAACTTTTAGTTTGTTTAAATAAGTACGTACCTTCGGGTTCCGTTGGTACAAAATCTAGAGTACGTGTTTTCGCTCTTACGTTTTCGCCAGTTCCGTCTATCCAGATATAGGTCGCTTTGATTCTTCCCTTGCAAGGTAAATTTCTGTACCTGTCGGCTACGGATTTGTTTAGGACCGCGTTGGGCGAATTTTGAAGAGTACTGGCTGGCATTTTCTATGATTAACACTTACGCACTGAAGACACAGACTTTATGAGATGTTTGTTTCGCAATTATGCTGTAAATGGTTGTGTGTTAGTGGCCCACATTGTTTTATCTTATTTACGAACGATTAAAAATAGTACCACAACATGTGTAATGATAATCCGTATCACGTCATATTACTTCATAAAATACCGATAAGCAAATGGGTTCTAGGTTCAGCCGATTATTTCCATACCACCGTGGACGATAACCGGGTCACGTGCACATTTTCTTAATAAAGGCGTCAGTGATTAATTTTTTATGCGTGTTTAAAATAGTTTAGATTAAATTGTTCAATAGTAGATTGTTTTATTAGGATTAAAAGTGCCATTTTTTGCGACGAGCAAATTTTGCATTTGCGAGGCGGAGCGAAGCGAAGCCGAGCGGATGCAAAATTGCGAGTCAAAAACTGACTTTTAATCCGAATGAAACATACTACTTTTTCGCCAGCCAAAAAGTAAATCTCAAAAATACAAAATATTGATAACAATAATATCGAGCAGAAATGAATCAATCTGCAAAGTAGTCTGGTATCCACGTCGTCAAGGCTTTTTTTGTTTGCTTACATACCATTGTTTTGTGAAAACGTTTGCAGTGTTAATAATGAATCCTGAAGAAGAGTTACCTCCCGATGTGCTAGAAGAAGCACAAAACGTGGTACTGAACTTGTTACCAACAAAATCGCGCGAAGTGTATGAGTGCGCGTATACCCGCTTCATCAAATGGTGCGAAGGGAAAAAGATTCAAACTTATTCTGAGAACGTCCTATTGGTATATTTTTCCGAATTGGCTACAAAAGTGAAGTCATCCACACTGTGGTCGCACTATTCCATGGTGAAAGCAACTTTAAATATAAAAAATGGCATAGAAATCGGAAAGTATTCAAAATTAAAAGCGTTTATAAAGAAACAAGGAGAAGGATACGTTCCAAAGAAATCAAGGGTTTTAACTAATGAACAAATAGAAGTTTTCTTAGACACGGCTCCGGATTTCAAATTCCTGATGATGAAAGTATGTTTATAACCTAATGAAGAGCTTATATTTATTTTACGAATTTTTTTCAGATTGTTGTAATCTTTGGCGTTAGCGGAGCTTGTCGGTGTCACGAACTATTACAAATAAAAACTGAAGATATTGAAAATATTAAAGCAGGTTTATTGGTAAAAATTCCTGATACCAAAACGAAAAAACCCAGATCATTTACGGTTATGGGGGAAAAGTATTTGAAATTTTACCAAAAGTATGTTGCGCTTCGTCCAAAAATGTTTAATGAAGGTCGGTTTTTTATTAAATATGTCGACGGAATGTGCCATCGACAAGTAGTTGGCATTCATAAAATTAGTGCTGTACCCCAAGAAGTAGCCAAATATTTAAAGCTAGAAAACTTTAAAGAATACAGCGGACATTGCCTACGTCGGACTTCTGCCACGCTTTTTGTGGATTCTGGCGGTGATATTACGTCCCTCAAGAGGCACGGTGGGTGGAAATCTGACAGTGTAGCCGAAGGTTACATAGAAGAGTCTCTTAAACACAAAAAAGATGTAGCAAAAAAAATTTTTCGTTTGGAAGAACCAGGTACAAGTAGTGAAACCACAAGTAAAATACATGAAGACGCAACGAATAGGAATGTGAGCGAAGTAAACCTAGAAGAATCAGGTACAAGTAGTGGAACTACGAATAGAATGATCACACGTGAAGACGGAATAAGTAGGAATGTGGGAGCAGTAAACCTGAATTTTGACACTGTGACCAACCAGACAGCAGGAGCGGTAGAAGTGTTAGCGCAAAATATTATTACTGACCGCATGAAAAATGATAATAGTGACGGAAAATCTTTAATCCAAATCAATCGCAGTTGTTCTTATTGTACATTCAATATTAATTTTAAAATTTAAATAATTAATAACAATGTAAGTTAATAATAAAATTGGAAAATATTAATAGCATTTCATTCTCAAAATAAAACAATTGAAAACTTTTTAAGGCTAGGATGAAAAAAAAAAATTAATCCTAGGATTAAAAAGGCAAAAATGACGTTGTTACTTTAGTAACGCAACTTTTTTTTACTCTCACAAAAACGTCAAGTTTTCCGTCCAAAATTGACGTTAAAAGTGACATCTTTTAAGACGGCTGGCGAAAAAATATATTTTTTTACTACATATATCACGCTTTGCGTGATCAGGATTCAAAATTTATAACATTATTTTCCATGCGAAAAATAAATTATTCACATTAGTCGACAGTCCTAAGACTTTATAGTACCCACTTACCCATGGTCAATCTATCTTATCTAACAATCATAGGAAATTGATACTCCAGATAACAACAAAAAACTGTTTACTCATTAAAAATATCATTTATTTAGTAAATAAATTACACCGGTTATCACCCTACCAAGAACTTATTGTATTTGAACATCAGTATTCGCTTCAATCCAATCCAAAAAGCTAGTAAGTCTCGTAAACCCACTTGGATACCCAGGCAAACAGAACATGATTCCAAAGGAAACCACACCAATTTGTTTATCTTCGGCTACCAAAGGACCACCAGAATCACCATTGCAAGACCCAGTATCTTGATCTCCAGACGTGCAAATGTTAGTTTCTGGCAAATCACCAAAAGCTTCCTCACAATCTTCGTTGGTGATAACATCAACGTCGACGTAGTTCAGTACTTCGGAAAGCGTATCACCAAGACCGTCAGTCAAGCCCCAACCACTGATTCTAGCAGTAGTACCAACGTAATCATTACTAGCGTCAGCTTTAGTTGGCAAGGCAACGACTTGAATAGCGTCTGTGAGTACTACCGGTTCGGGGAGCTTGATAACGCCGATATCGTTGATGATTAGTTCGTCGTCGTAATCTTCGTGGACCGTGAGTTCCGTACTGACTACCTTGACTTGAGTGTCTTCGGCTTCTGTTTGTTTGTGGGCTCCTAGGGTAATGTGGGCTTCAGTGCCACTGTAAAATTTGGTTTAGTTTCAAAGGACGTAACGTATGAGAGGTACTCACTCTACGTTGCAGTGGGCCGCAGTTAGAATATAGTTTTCGGAAATGAGGCTGCCGCCACAGTACCACCCTCCGTCTGCGGAATAGACTTCCAAAAGGACTTGATAAGGGATGGAGTGGGGTTCGGCTTCTTGTCCTCCGATGATGCGTGGGCTGGGTTTAACTTGAATTTCTTTGACAGGATGTTTGAACAAGTTACGATAATGCAACTGGCCAGGCTGAGAGATTTAAATTATTTTTTTGTCATTTCGAGTGGATTTACCAGTACTTACTTTTGGAACCGCAGCCGCAAAAGCAACAATCGCCAATATCAAAATAGTCGTCTTCATGGTGATTTCGTTGGAAACTGTGATTAAGATCGGTTTTCGACCCCTTTTATACTGATTCGTTAAGTAGTTTTCTCAGGAGAGGTTTTTCAGAAACTTATGGTGGATGTTATCTTTGAGTTTTCACATGATGCAACACTTGACTTTTGTTACGAGATTTAGAGATTGTGTTGTCTACGCAGGAAGTAGAAGCTCTGGGGGTACTTGGTGTGCTGAACACTAGAAGATAAGCAATAAAAAAGTTAGTTCCATCTCTTGAAATATGAGATATAGATAAGAAATAATAGACGTTTTAACGGTACTCTCTCATTTTCTATAGTACCTCGTGCATGTCGAGGGATTATTGGCCTGAGATATAGATCTCAACGTGACGATTTGAAAAATATAGCTTGTTTATAGTTCAGACTATCGAGATATGGTACGACTTTTAGAAAAGTCCTGCCATTGTTCCCGGATAATACTTTATTTTGATTATTTAATAAATCTTGATGACCTGGTTAAACAACTCATTTATTAATTGCAGATATTTGTAACATCATTCTATAACAACATCAGTGTTATCACCAATCCAGTCCAAATAATTGACCACTTTAGTATGAAAAGCAGGCAGACTTTCTACGCAGTAAACACTATAGGAAACTATTCCAACAAGAACGCCGTCCACCACGAAACCGCCACCAGTGTCTCCATCACAAGGACTGACATAAACCCCCTCAAACTCTCCAGAAGTACAAAACATAGTTCCTGGTAAATTATGGTCACGACAAGCTTCGTCAAGACTACTTAAAACAGTCGTGTCGAAATATCGTAAAATGTCAAACAATTTATCGCTGATGAAACCATCGTCTATAGCCCACCCAGCAACTCGTCCGACCACTCCGATATACACTGTATCAATATCAGCTCTTTTTGGTAGCGTAATTGGCTGGATGGCAAAAGTGTAGTCGATAGTCTTCGGAAGCTTAACTACAGCAATGTCGTTAAGCCGACCATAATCTTCGCCATAATGTTCGTGAACTATGATATCTGTGCTGAAAACGTTGATTTGGGTACTTTCCGTGAGGAAGATATCGTGAGCACCTAGAGTTACCAACACTTCAACGGTACTACAAAAGTAAATAAGTTTCGGTTGGATATTCTTTGGGTACTTACTTATTAGCACAGGCTGCAGACGTTAAAACATAGTTTTGTGAAATGACGGAACCGCCACAGTACCGACCGGACGTTTCTGTATAAAATTCAAGGAAAGCTTGGTATGGCATGGAGTGAGGCTCTGCAAGGTTTCCCCCCAGAATCCTTGGTGATGGACTCAGGTGTCTCTGTCTACGGGAGACTGATCTAGGAAACTGAAATACAAAATTGAAGAAGTTACAAGTACCAGGGTAAAGTTACCTCTGCAAGGGTCAAGCAGATTAAAGTCAAAACAAAAATAATAGTCTTCATGGTTTCGAAAGACGGTGCGATGGCACTTAAAATTTTTGCTGTTTATATTGTCAATTGTTATCTTCGAGTAAGTGTCCAATCTCGATTATCTTATAATACAGACGTTAAATTTCATATAAAGTTAATTTAGTTTCGGCGAGAAAAGGGACTTGGGTGATGTAACAATTGAAATACTTTCAGTTGGTTCTTGACAAGTGTTTCTTTATAGGGGATTTAGAATTTATTTATTTAAGTTAGCTGACTTCATTATTTTATAATAGCATCAGTATTATCACTAATCCAATTCAAGTAGGTGGCAACCCTGGTATGAAATCCAGGCATACCTTCCAAACAATAAACATTAAAGGCATTTATTCCAATAAGAACCCCATCCGATACAAAACCACTGCCTTGGTCTCCATTACAAGGACCTACATAGGTACCATTGTACTCTCCAGCAGTGCAAAACATGTCTATCGGCGTTATATACAACCGACAATCTTCATCGTCACTGCTTATAACAGTAGTATCAAAATATCGTAAAACATCGAATATTGCGTCCCAAAAACCATCATCTGAGCCCCACCCGGCAATTCGTCCCACTTGTCCGACGTACTCTCTAGCAATATCAGCTCTTTTTGGTAGTGCAACTGGTTGGATGGCATCAGTGTAACTGATACTTTTCGGGAGTTTAACAACAGCGATGTCATTATCCCACCCATAATCTTCGTTAAAACCTTCATGAACGATAATGTCTGTGCTGTAAACGTTGATTTGGGTGGGTTCTGTGAGATAGATATTGTGAGCACCAAGAGTTACCAACACCTCGACGGTACTACAAATAATGTTACAAAATTTCCTGTTGATATATATTTTGTGTAGTACTTACCCATTAGCACACGATGCAGATGTTAGAACATAGTTTTGTGAAATGAGGGAACCACCGCAGTACTTTCCATAAGTTTCAGTATAAAATTCAAGAAAAACTTGATATGGTAAGGAATGAGGTTCTGCAATGTTTCCTCCTACAACTCTTGGTGATGGATTGATTTGTTTGGAGCTACGACGGAAGTGTGGTCTGGAGGACTAAAATGAAGAGTAGAGGAACTTACAAGTACTATTATAACGTTTACCTTCGGGGCTGCAAGAGTCAAGCCGATCAGAGCTAAAACGAAGATAATAGTCTTCATGGTTTCATCAGTTAGTTCGATTAAAAAAGTCTTGCCCTTTATAGTGTCAGTTGTTATCTTCCAGTGAGTAGATAACCAAGATTATCTTAAAATTCATCCATTATAATTTCTATAACTGACTTCGGTTAATCGATTCTGACGGAAAAGAACACTTAATAAAGTCGAGAGTTTGAAACCACTATTTGGGTGATGCAATATTACGACGTTTTGTTTAATTTGCAAAATTGAATAGAATTACATATTAAATGAATTTTTCAGGCAAAAATCGCCAAAAAGTACTAAATACCAAAGAGAGAGTTTTAGAGGGATTTTGAGTCACACCCAAACAAATAACAAATGTTTTTCCTACCGGTTGCAAACCACCAATCTGACCAATGTTAATAACAAGATACTTCTTTAATTTTTGGAATAGTTTGTTCAGGGTGTCTTTAGAAAAATAGATGACACGGAAACTGGTTTGATATATGTAATGTAACTGAATCCTATTCTATCCAAACTCAAAACTGTTAATTATTAAATTAGAAAACCCATGACAGTGAGTTTTTATATTTGATTTATTTTTTACACTTTTTATTATTCTATTACAATATCAGTATTATCACTAATCCAGTCCAAGTAGATGGTAACGCTAGTATGATATCCAGGAAGACCGTCCAAACAATAAACATTAAAGGCATTTATCCCAATTAGGACGCCACCCAATGCGAAACCACTACCTTCATCTCCATTACAAGGACTTACATACACATCCTCATATTCTCCAGCGGTACAAAACATGTCTTCCGGTGTTATATATAAATCACAATCTTTATCTTCACTACTTATAACCGTAGTATCAAAATATCGCAGAACATCAAATATTTCGTCCCGCAAACCATTATCTGAACCCCAACCAGCAACTCGTCCCACTTGTCCAATATACACTTTATCAACATCAGCTCTTTTTGGTAGTGCAACTGGCTGGATAGCTTCAGTATAACTGATAGCTTTCGGGAGTTTAACAAGAGCAATGTCGTTAAACGGCCCATAAATTTCATTAAAACCTTCGTGAACTATAATATCTGTGCTGTAAACGTTAATTTGAGCGGGTTCTGTGAGGAAGATATTGTGAGCACCGAGAGTTACCAGCACCTCAACGGTACTACAAATAATGTGACAAAATTTTCTGTTGTTATATATTTTGTGTAGTACTTACCCATTAGCACACGATGCACATGTCAGAATATAGTTTGGTGAAATGAGGGAACCACCGCAGTACTTTCCATACGTTTCTGTATAAAATTCAAGAAAAACTTGATATGGTAAGGAATGAGGTTCTGCAATATTTCCTCCTACAACTCTTGGTGATGGACTGATTTGTTTGAAGTTACGACGGAAATGTGGTCTGGGGGACTAAAATAAAGAGTAGAAGAACTTACTGGTACTACTATAATCTTTACCTCTGGGGCTGCAAGAGTCGAGCAGATCAGGGTTAAAACGAAGATAATAGTCTTCATGGTTTCATCAGATAGTTCGATGGTCTTCGTCAAGTCTTGTTCTTTATAGTGCCAGTTGTTATCTTCCAGTACGTAGATAATCCGATTATCTATTAATGCATCCATTACAGTTTCTATTAAACGCTCCTGACTAGAAAAATGCATTTATTAATTATTATTTGGGTGATGCAATATTTAATATTAGTAATATTAGATTTTTTGGAAAATTTCGAAACATTCCAAAATTCAGTAGAATTAAATATTAAAATGCTTTAAAATTTAAAAATGAACTTTTAAGGCAAAAGTCCACTTTTGTATTATTTTAATGCAATTTTTTCATGACTTTCATATTTATTGCTTCAGGTACCAAAGATTATGTCGAGAGTTTCCTTCAGTGGAGTAATCACCAATCTCACAACGTTAAATACAAAGATAGAGCTTTAGCTTTTGGAATTGTTTGTTGAGGATGTCTTTAGACTTAGAGCAACAGTTGATACGAAAACCGATTTGTGTGCATAATACGTCAGATCTGTTGCAGTACCTAAATAAAAATTGTTAATTACCAAATTAGAAAAACCATGACACTAATAATTTTTATTTTTAATATATAATTCTTCTTTTCATTACACTTCTTGTTCAATGGATGAAGACCTGCTTAAACAATTTATTTATCTAAGTTTACTGACTTCTTATTACTCTATTATAACATCACTATTGTAACTAATCCAATCCAAGAAGCTGGCAACCCTTGTATGAAATCCAGGGAGACTTTCCAGACAATAAACATTAAAGGCATTTATCCCAATAAGAACACCATCCGACACTAAACCAGTACCTTCATCTCCATCACAAGGACCTACATAAGTATCATTATACTCTCCAGAAGTACAAAACATGTCGTCCGTTTCTTCATATAGCTGACACTCTTTATCATGTCTACTGATAACAGTAGCATCAAAATAGCGCAAAACATCGAACATTACATCCACCGTGAAACCAAAATCTACGCCCCATCCAGCCATTCGTCCCACTTCTCCGATATAGTCTTTATCAATATCAGCTCTTTTTGGTAGTGCCACGGGCTGGATAGCATCAGTATAAGTGATAGTTTTCGGGAGCTTAACAAGAGCGATGTCGTTGCCCCCTCCATACAATTCGCTAAAATCTTCATGCACTATAATATCAGTGCTGTAAACGTTGATTTGAGTGGGTTCTGTGAGATAGATATTGTGAGCACCAAGAGTTACTAACACCTCAACAGTACTACAAATAAAGTTACAAAATTTTCAGTGAGATATATTTACTGTAGTACTTACCCATTGGCACACGATGCACATGTCAGAACATAATTTGGTGAAATTAGGGAACCAGCGCAGTACTTTCCAGACGTTTCTGTATAAAATTCAAGGAACACTTGGTATGGTAGGGAGTGAGGTTCCGCAATGTTTCCTCCTACAACTCTTGGTGATGGATTGATTTGTTTGGGGTTGCGACGGAAATGTTGCCTGAGGGACTACACTAAAGGGTAGAAGAATTACAAGTACTATTGAAGTGTTTACCTCTGGGGCTGCAAGAGTCGAGCAGATCAGGGTTAAAACGAAGATAATAGTCTTCATGGTTTCATGAGATAGTTCGATCGTCCTCAATTAAGTCTTGCACTTTATAGTGTCAGTTGTTATCTTGTACTAAGTTGATAATCGCCATTATCTTTTAATGCATCAGTTATGAAGTTAATTTTTATTAAATGCTTCTGAATAGAAGAGGACACTTAATAAAATCACATTTCGAAACTATCTGAGTGATGCAATATTACAGTTTTTCACTAACTTTTTCTGACGGAAAAAACACAAGGGTAATAGATTTTTCTTTTGTTTTATGTTTACATCTACATAATCCTTTTTTTATGTAACATTAATTTATTATAAAATCAGTATTGGCACCTATCTAATCCAAAAAATTCACAACCCTGGTGTGAAATCCAGGAAAATCTTCCAAACAATAGGGATTAAAAGAAACTATTCCGATAAGAACACCATCCGACACGAAACCACTACCATTATCACCATTACAAGAACCTACTTACATATCATTAAATTCTCCAGAGGTGCTAAACATGCTTCCCGAATATTCATCCAGACACTTATAACAGTGGTGTCAATATATATAGATATCAAGTGGTGGGGAATGTAAGTGCACGCACTTTCCTGTGCTCTGTATCTGACCTCTAAATTGGTGAGTCTGTTCTGATTTTTAATCGGGAAAAAGCACTGGTTAGTGATCGGTTTGTGAGAGCATTGGTTGTCCCGGTTTTTACCAGGAATAGTCCGCTGGTTGCTATATTCCTAAGGATTTACATTTTGATTTAGTTGTCACGTTCGAATATTTGCTTATCAGTGCTCTTTTTGTCCATTGACGATAAAATTTTCTTTCGATAGGCACGAGGCGCGCGACCAAGGCGCTGGCGTGTTGCCGTACCTTGTTACGCCTTGTCCCCCGTTGGGGAGTACACAGTATTTAGTTTTAGCCGCTGTTCATGATGGCTAATAATTTCCCTACTAAAGAACAAGCGGTAGTTATCACCGCTGTTGATACTTTGAATTTGCAGGATTACATTGTTGCAATTGGTAATGTTGTGACACCCAAAAATATCTTGTTTGCATCTAGGATCTCAAAAAATCGTATTTGTATTTACCTTACTTCGAAGTCTTTGGTTGATGACCTTGTCACGGTGCATCCCTCTATTAAAGTTAAAGATGTTGACGTCGGTATACGTCGTTTATTAAACCCAGCTCGCTGATTAATTTTATCAAACGTCTGCCCATCAATTCCTCATATTATTTTTGAGAACAGAATTAAATCCCTCGGACTTGTCCCTGTGTCACCTATGTCTTTTATGAGAGCGGGCATTAAAGACGAACAATATGCGCATATACTCAGTTTTCGCAGATACATGTATGTTCAACCTGACGACAGCATTATTCTTCCTGATTCTCTAGTGTTAAAATACGATGATACGAATTACCGGTTTTTTTTGACATATGATGACGTTTGCTACAAATGCAAAACGACTGGCCATTATGCTAACGAATGTCCTAATGTTAGTTCTTCAAATCAGGACCCTAATCTCACAGTAAGCATTGAAGAGACCCCTAGAAAAAGGCAGATTGACGACGACGTCAGTTCTCCCGAAATTTCACCTCTAGATCTCTCTGGTGATACTTCCAGTAAAGTAAATAATACTTTAAAAAAGAAAAAAACGAGTGACTCCTGCGACAGTTTAACTCCGACACTGGATTTGCTTTTACCTGCCCAAGACTTACTGAACAACACTGAGCAGTATCCACTGAACTTTGATCAAGTGGTCGGGTTCTTGGATAAGGCATCAGGTGTTAATGATATTCTTAGCCTTGTACGTGAAATCACAAATCATATTCAAGGAGTTATTAATTTATTGTATGACGTTTACCCGATTGTGAATCAAAAAAGTATGAAAAACAGATGTCGAAAAATACACAAAAAAATTAAGAAAGCTTACAATCCAGATAACTTTAATTTGATTGAATTAACTTCAGGCACTCGTGGGCACGGCATGGAGGATGACTTAAGTCATTCCTCCAAGTAAATCTACTGGCTTTCCACTATTGTATAATCTTTTTAATCAAAATGGCGTCTGCTAATGCACACTATTTTACTCATCCTATTATTTACACTAACCTTGCGTCATTACTTGCGAAATATGACGAATTATGCACCCTAGTCAGTGAACTGAAACCATCATTTGTACTAATTCCAGAAACCTGGTTAACCCCTTTAGTGACTGACCCGCCGATTTCCTTAGATGGATACGCAGTTTTTAGAAAAGATCGTCACAACGACAAAGGTGGAGGTGTTTGTGTTTATATCTCTGATCACATCTGCGCGATCTTTGCAGTTATTCCCATTACAGTCGACACGGGTAACATTGACTCCATATTTCTGAAGATAACAAATACAAGGTTGACGTTTCTGTTAGGTTGCATTTACCGGCCACCTACGTCCATCATCGAAGATGACCACTCCCTTTTCCAGTGCATCTCAGAGATAACTGACGTTTATCAACATCATTTTATTTTTGGTGATTTCAATATGCCTGATATAGAGTGGCCCTTAAACGCCTCTCAGTCTTCTTCTCCGTCTTCTCAATTATTAGTCGACCTGTTATTGAATAGTCACTTAAGTCAGTTGGTAACGCATCCCACCCGGTACAGGATAAATCAAAACCCTTCCACATTGGACTTAATTATCACTAGTGACGACAACTCTCTGGCCCATTTGGAATACCTTGATCCTGTCGGAAAGTCAGATCACTCCACCCTCAAGGCTAATTTCCAGATTTGCACGCTTTCGAAGGAAAGAACAGTCACATACACCAGAGCTGTTATTGACTACAGATCTGTGAATAAGGCCTTAACCGATGTTCACTGGCCGTCGTTGTTCGTTATCTCCTCGGTCGTAGATAACTGGAAATTATTTAAGACCACAGTGCTCGACCTCGTGTGTAAACACTCCTCTAGTATTAGCATCAAAAGATCATCAACCAAACCATGGATTGGTAAAAAAATTCTAAAAATGGTAAGAACTAAACGAGCTCTATGGCGAGAATTTAAGAGATCAGGAAATCAAAACGACTACAAAGCACATCGTAATTTTTCCCATGGAATAAATATCTTAATCTAAACCTTATTGTATCATGATTTTTCCAATAATCTTTCAGTCATAATTAGAAAAGCTCGTATCGCATACGAAAAGCAACTTGCCGACTCAACAGACACTAAGCGTTTTTACAGACATATTCGTAACAAACTTTCTGGGCCCGTGTCGACTCTTCAATCAAGAGACGACGACGACAAAATCACCGATGACTGTGCTACTGTTGCAAATATTTTCGCAGATACATTTTCTAAAACTTTCAATCTTGAAACTGACAGTACATTACCAAGTGCAATAATACCCAAGCCGAATGTCTCCCTCGATAGTATTGAGTTCCCTGAAGATGTCATTTGTAGTAAGTTGAAGAAACTAAAATTTTCTAAATCCCCTGGGCCGGACGCAATTACTGCTTCCGTTTTAGCCCACTGTGCCGAATGTCTTTCTCTACCTCTGAGTCTCTTAATGAAACAATCATTTACTTCAGGCATCTTGCCGTTTGATTGGAAAACAGCAATCGTGAGACCTATCTTTAAGAAGGGAGATAAGTTCAATCCCTGTAATTATCGGCCCATTAGTCTGACCTCCCTCATTGTTAAAACCATGGAGTCTATAATCTACGAAACTCTCATTAAGTTCCTATTGGATCAACATCTTATTCCGGAAGAACAGCACGGTTTTCTTCCCGGCAACTCCACAATTTCGAATCTCCTTTGTTGTCTCTCAAACTGGACCCGGCATTATGATTCTGGAGTTCCAGCTGATGTTGTTTACTTGGATTATTCCAAAGCTTTCGATAGGGTTCCCAAACGCCGGCTTTTAGCCAAGCTTGAGAATCTTGGAATAGCGAGGAATCTACTTCATTGGATTGGCGCCTTTTTGTCTGATCGTACGTTTAAAGTGAGGGTTGGTGACGGCCTAAGAGAGCATAGACCGGTCCTGAGTGGTGTACCTTAAGGATCGATTTTGGGTCCACTATTGTTCATAGCATACACCTCTCATTTAAAAGTTATTATTCAATCACCTTTCGCCATGTATGCTGATGATATAAAGATATAGAACACCAGCAACAATCAGTCTATCCTGAAAAGCGACTTGTCAGCTATCGGCGAATGGTGCTCTGCCTGGTTACTACTTCTAAACGTATCTAAATGTTCGGTTCTATATATTGGTAAAAATAACCCGCAACATACGTATACCATTGATAATTCCAAGTTAACAAAATCGGAATCACTATCGGATTTAGGGGTGTTCATGACTTCTTGCCTATGTTGATCTGAGCATGTTCAGCGTGTTGTAAAAAAGGCAAATTCACTGGTGTTTCTCCTCAGTAAAGTATTTGCAAAAAGTCACTTTAGCGTCGTCAGTAAATTTTATAGGACCTATATTAGACCCATCCTCGAGTGATGCAGCTTCCTACGCTCTCTGATCGTCGTAAGAGAGGAGATCTAATTGTTACGTTTCAAGCCTTAAAAGCTCCTCTGTCTCCTATTAAACACCTGTTTCCATTAGCACATAACAATAGAACTAGAGGACACTGCCTAAAACTGTCCCAAGATAAATTTCAGACCACCGTTAGGCAACATTTTATTGTAAACAGGATTTTCGAATCATGGAATTCTCTACCCTCCGACATTGTAATGTGTGATTCAATTTCCAGTTTCAAACGCAAATATGACGCCTATAATGTTTAAGAAGTTTCTTCTCTTCCAGATTGTATCATTCTAGCCACCAATCACTTGATTAGCGCGGGCATAACAGGCTGTATCAATTTCAGCTCTTTTTGGTAGTGTAACTGGTTGGATAGCATCAGTGTAATCGATAGTTTTCGGGAGCTGTTTATATGTTTCTTCTAGTAAGTACTTAGTTACCCTCGATTATCTTTTAATTCAGACGTTAAATTTTATATAAAGTTAATGTGGTCAGACGCTTTTGACGAGAAAACGACACTTGGGTAATAATTAAAATACTTTCAACTGGAGGTTCTTGAAAAGTTTTAATATTATGAAGCTCCAATTTTAAAATGAGTTGCAATTTTTTTGGGTTTCAGTAGTAAGGTACTTTAGTTTTTGAAACTGTTTATTACAATTCAGGTTCAATGCATGATGACATGATTAAACAATTTTGTTATTCTATTATAACATCACTGTTATCAGCGATCCAATCCAGGAAACTGGCAACCCTGGTGTGAAATCCAGGGAAATCGTCTAAACAATAAAAGTTAAAGGAATTTATTCCAATAAGAACCCCATCCGACACGAAACCACTGCCTTCATCTCCATTACAAGGACCTACATACGTATCATTATACTCTCCAGAAGTGCAAAACATGCCTTGTGGGGGTAGATATACCCGACAATCTTCATTCCGATTACTTATAACTGAAGTATCAATATATCGCAAAAGGTCGAATATGTGGTAGTCAAAACCATCATCTGAACCCCATCCAGCAATTCGTCCCACCACCCCCGTATACACTGTATCAATATCAGCTCGTTTTGGTAGTGCAACTGGCTGAATAACATCATTATACTCAACAGCTTTCGGTAGTTTAACAAGAGCAATGTCGTTATCCCAGCCGTAATCTTCGCCAAAATGATCATGAACTATAATATCTGTGCTGTAGACGTTGATTTGAGTGGGTTCTGTGATGAAGATGTTGTAAGCACCGAGAGTTACCAATACCTCGAGGGTACTACAATAATTAAGTTACAAAATTTTCTTGGGATACATTTTCAGGACTTACCCATTGGCGCACGATGCACATGTTATTACATAGTTTGGTGAAATGAGGGAACCACCACAGTACTTTCCGAATGTTTCTGTGTAAAATTCAAGAAAAACTTGGTATGGTATGGAATGAGGTTCTGCAATGGTTCCTCCTATTACTCTTGGTGATGGATTGGTTCGTTTGAGGTTTCGACGAAGAGGTGATCTGCGAGCCTAAAATAAAGAGTAGAGGAACTTAAAAGTACTACTGTGGTGTTTACCTCTGGAGCTGCAAGAGTTAAACTGACCAAAGTTAACACGAAGATAATAGTTTTCATGGTTACATCAGATAGTTCGATGGTTCTCAATGAAAATTTTCCCTTTATAGTGCCAGTTGTTATCTTGCAGTGAGTAGATAACGTATATCATTATAATTTTTATGAAACTAACTTCTGATGAAAAGGACACTTAATAAAATCAAGGTTTCGAAATGACAAATTGGGTGATGCAATATTAAAATACTTTTACCTACTTCTTGCAAAATTCTGAACTAGTCAAAGTACCGGTTAATACAAATTTTGTTATTTAAATGACATTACAAAACTCATTACTTCTAAACTGCTTCAATTTATCACAACGTCCGTTTTAGTTTGCGTGTGGGGCATATTTGAGTTGTCGTACCTTTGGTACTGCAGCTTCTAAGGCTGCAATATCCAAAACAAAAACAATAAGCTAAGTGGTTTGTTCACACTTTGATTGAAATAAAAATCTGTCAATCTTTTATAGTTGATCTTATCGTATATTGTTCCTTAACATAAAAATACGTGATTTGGTACTTCAGATTACATTAGCAGGATTATTTAAGTTTGTACTGGTTTAAGTTTAAGTTTTAGTGGACGGTTTTGAATAGAGTGGCCCATGATGAAATAATATGTCCTTTTACCAGTATGTTAAGAATGTTGGAAGAAGGCAGTCATAATGAATTAAAGATTCAGTTTCATTCAAAAGTGAGTTTTAAAGTAATTATCAAGTGGTATCTTAAAAAAACTCGTACTATTAGATGTCGCAGAACTAAAACCGAAATCTGAAATTTCTAAAAGACTCCACAAAAGGAAAGAAAAATTGAAAAGAAAGGAAGAAAAACAAAAAATTCCGATGCAATAAAAATGAAATATTTTAATCGGTTTGTGCAATTTTTGTATTGTTTTAGTTAGTATATTAGAGATAAGGTTAATTACATTACATCTATTGATAATTTGATTCGAGAACTAAATAATAGTAGCTTGAAAATATCATTTTATTTTTTTAATTTATTCAAAGCTTAGAAAAATACATTAAAGCATACTCAACTAAACACTAGATGAAATGTTCAAAATTCCCGCCTTGTGCATATAAGTAAGCTCGTAATGTTTCTAAATTTCAATTATTTTTTGTAAAAGTTAGTCATCAGTATTTGCTACTAAAAACTGTAATGACATACCGTCTAAGAAAATAGAGAGCGGGTGGGCGGGAGTAGTACCTGCTTAAGAAAAACTGATTTTGGCAAATGACATACCTATCCTCTAAGAAAAGAGAGGATGGGTGGGCAGGGTTAGTAGCTGCTAAAATAAGATCGATTTTGCCATATTATAACATACCCGATAAGAAATTAGAGGGTGGGTGGGCAAGTACTTGGTAAGGTAAAAGTGATTTTGGCAAATGACATATTCTCTAAGAAAATAGAGAGCCGGCGGCTGGAGTTAGTACCTGTTAAGAGAAGACTGATAAATAATTTACAAAAAAAAACCTCCATGGGCTCCCAAAAAAATACACCATGGGAGTCTCCCGAATTAAAAAAAATACACTGCGGCACCCAAGACTTTTTCAAATTCATAAAAAATAAAACACTAAAAGCTCAAAAGATTTTTTTAAGTTCATCCACCAACAAAACACCAGATGCCTTTAAATTTCTCCGAGAATAAAACACAGGGGACCTAAAATTAATTGCGAACTTTTTAAATGTAGGGTTTTTAAAACTGATAATTTTTGATATGTCAAACATTTTTAACTGCTTACTCGATTCTTACTGATTTGTATCTTCAGGCAAACATTGTGATCAAATGGAATTTTATCAAATTACTCAGAAACAACACAACCAAACTACTATACAGGCCCCCCCAGAACACAATACATTTTTAATGCTTTTAGCCTGGTTTTTAAGGTAACTTTTGAAAAGTTAAAATTTTTGAAGATTTTGCTCGGTTTTTCGAAGTCACCCCTTTTTAAAAAAGTCAAAATTTTAAGAAATATATCCTGTTTTATCAAACGTGAATACGGTTTCGGCCAAGAAAAGTTACCATTTAAAAACACTTAAAATTCGTCTTTTAACCCTGTTTTTCTGTTGGGTTACTTCAGGACAAAAATGAATACGTCCAAATTCAGTTTTCAATGGTAGGTATATTAAAAAAAAAAATAGTATTAATTACAGTTTAATAGTATACAAGTTACATGACCATTCCCACACATAGAACACGTGTAGAATGTAATACAATATTTCAGCTGGTATATTTTTCTTTCTAACCACTTCTCAGTAAACAAGGTGACGTGAATTTGACGTGGATTTTAAGTCATCTCATTGGTGATTATCACGTACCGTATTGGGCTCATGACGTTACCGACCTTTATCGCCTAATAATCGACGTCATATTCACGTCACCTTGTTTACTGGGTTGTAAAAAATTGTTAATAAGGATTTTACCTATTATGTGTAATAGCCTCCACAAAATCTGCATTGGCATCAGGAGTTGGAAACTCAAACGTAACAAATTCGCTGTTTTGCAACTCTAGCTTTGTGCTGGTTAGTGTTGGATTCCCAACATTTTCTATATGCTTGATTTTAATAAATCGGTTTCTTCCAATTGTCCCTGGGCAATTGAGGAATTTAATAAGAATAAGTCTTACTCTTTTCTTAACCTCTAAAAGTATTTCTACTTGGGATGATGCCACCCCATTCGCCCCTTGTCTCATTGAGGACCAGACGTTCTCCCACACAGGCATTTCGTTCAGTTTTCTATTATTTCTACAACTACAGAATATTGTTAATTCGATGCACTGCTTTGTTTCAAGGTACCTACTTGCCGAAATGTACGACTTACTGTGGAGAATAAATTCTCTGGTAATGCCATGGCCATTATCAGCACAAAAAAACAGCAAAAACAGAGCCAACAAAAACATAAAAACACGTTATATCAACAAAACACAATTAATGTGTTAATAAGACCCTTGGACTGATATTTGATAAAATCAAAATTTTCCTATCATTCATTTTTACCTGCAAAACCATATTGTAGGGATCATCTTTCTCTTTCAAATTTATGATTATGTTGCCTTCCATATTTACAGAACCGAAATATTTTTTAATACGATTAATAAAAGGGATATTAACCTGCATAGACTTAGCTGTTTCACCTAGCATACGAATTAGGTACTTAGTCATAAACAAAACCAAAGTCCTTTGCTTCTATTTTATTTTTGAGTTCTTTAGTTTTAGTATCTCTTGTAATTCGATTATATTGTGTACTGATTTTTTTGTCTTTGTATTCTAAAATATTATTTATACTATCGGAGTTAATCTTTTCAGGCGTTTCATAATTTAGTGTAAATCCTTTTATTTTAGAAACAACTTTAACTATATTAGGCTTATAACAATAACTCTTCGGACCTGTTGATACCCATTCAACAATCCATACGCCCTTACCTAATACATCGGTCCAATCTCCCAATAGACAACCTGTTTTAACAGTGTTTTTACCATTATCTATATATACAATGCTATCTGTATCATAATATGCGACGCTTTCTCCTAATATGTCTAACATTTCGTACAATCTTAGTCTAGCATTTGCAGTTGTAAAAGCAGCTATGAATATGTTAGTTAGTATTGAAATCATTTTCTAGATAGCAACCTTTATACTTGTAATCAATTTGTAACATATTTTCGTTTAATTCATTGATATGTAAATTATCAAGTCTCTCGTCTAATAAAATTTCATAAAATCTCTTAATATCTGTAACATACTCTGTTGCGCCTATATTTTGTCTTTGACCAAATTTACCCCATAAGGAATTTAAGCAGATTTTTGCAACAGCTCTCTTTCCAGGATTATTTTTTATTTTACCCAATTCAATACCTAGATTTTCTTTTACGGCTTTTCTATATTCTTCTTCTGATTCAAAATCATTTCTCCATTCACTTGTCTCTAACTTTATTTTCATAAATGCTTTTACATATCCTTTAAACAAATAACTCGATTTTTGTTCAAAATGCCAAACTTCATCAATAGTTATTATTTTGTATCCTTTTTCAATTGCTTTTTTTACTTCGTTTGTACACCAGGTTCCTCTGACAATTCTTTGAGATTCCGTATGAGTACATTTATCTTTTTGATTATTTAATTTTGCACACAATTGACATAATGGAAATGTTAGTTTTTCACCGCCAGATTTCCTTTTATTTTTAACAGGTAAAACAGGGTGATACAAACCTCTTGGTGGTAAAATTGCACATTTTATTAAACCATACCATTTTGAATTATATGTAGGAGGTTTGAATATTTTAGTAGGATGTCCAACTGGATAATCATATATAACATTGTACTGTTGGATATAAACTACAAATATCTATATATTCAGTTCATTTTCTTTCCATTAACTTTTAGTTTTGTAGCATTAGTTCTTCCTCCGAAGAACGCATTTCTAGGATTAAGTTCTTCAATTTCTTTATATTTGCTTTTAATTTGTTTCATTTCTTCTGTATATTCTTTAGATTTAATCCAATTGCATTCCCACATTTCTATTAAATTATAGCCAGCTTTTTTTATTTGCTCGCTTCTTTCTATTGTTTGTTCATAAAGATCTTCCATAGTTGTTTTATTCTTATTATTAATAAAATCTGAACTATAACATTTTGTACAACCATGCCAAAAACAACCGTGATATTGATAGACTGTATTAGTTTTTTGATCAAAGCCAGCAACTTTTGATCCACATATTCTTATTTCACCATCGTTTAATGCATGTTTTATATTTGGATTATGAAAAATCTTCAACCAAGAAATTGATTGTTGAGAATATTGATCTTTTTTTAGATTATCAACAACTGCAATTGTATCTTTCTTAATATATTTTGATCTATATATAGCCATATAAACACCTGCAATTGTAATGTATCTAAAAGGATCTATGTTAGCTATTTCTAGAAATTGTTTTCTTAATTCAAGACATCCTCTTCTTAATATATCCACATCAAAATTACAATAATCATAAAGTTCATTTTTAAAATCAAATAAATAATTTTCTTTTCTTTTTTGTTTATGCCATTCCAAAAACTCTTGCCAATCTTTTATTTTCATAGAATTAACACCATAGTATTTTGTATTTGGTATTTTTCCAATATAGTTCTGATTTTCTGTTGTATTGAAAAAATGTGGAAAATAACCTTTTTTAAGTTCGTTTAGACCGAATGTTTTGGGGAAGTTTTTTAAAGGTCCTTGAACAAAATTACTACTATCAATAATTCTTATAGTATATTAAGTATTAAGAACGGTAAGGAGTGTTTACTGGTCGAAGGCAAAAGTTTGGAGACGGAGCGAAGCGACGTCTCCAATTTGTCTGAGACCAGTAAACCTCCTTAACGTTCATGATGCTTATACTATTTTTTGTACGACCATCAAAAGATTTGCGTCTTTTTATCAAATTCATAAATTGAAAGAATTTATATCAAACATCAACACGGTCGTTTTTTAATTTAAAATGTGTTACTATGCTTTCGATTAATATAAACAACAATTTTAAAAATCAGTTTCCATTTTGACAGCTGTCGATTTAGATTTGATCTGGCTTGATTTCAAGTTAATTTTCTTTCCGCGACTATTAGTGAGTGATTTATTTGCTTAAAACATCAATCATGAGTGATTCTGAAAGCGAAAATGTCGAAGTCGAACACGCATGGAATTTAAAATAAAAAAAATCTTGAATGCATGATTACTTACCGTTCAGCTGAACAGTAAGTAATTTACTTACCGTTCGCCTTTTAGTTGTTAGTCGTAGCAACCCGTAAACTGAACTTACTGCTATGGAAACCTATACGGTAAATGATCGAAAAAGCAATGGTCGTACAAAAAATTAATTGATTTTATTTCCATTAACATTATTTTAGATCCATTATATATGCAGAAAGGTTTAAGGGTGGCGTCTGGTTCGGTTTCGCCCAATACTAAATACATTGAAAACATCGTCGTAGTTTCCGGAATTGCATTTTTAAAATACTGAAATCTCCAACCAAGTCAGAATCTAAGTAAACCTGCATTCTGCTACCGCATTACAGCTCGTTTAATGCCGATTTCTCGTTTCAATAGATTTTGACTTTTCGCGAGTTATTTACCTCAGTCGTGGATTTTTTAATATTATAAATGGTATCAAAAGAAAGCTGACACTTTTCCCCAGGGGATCTCCTACTCAGAATGCAAAAAACTTCAGCACTTCGTCAAAAAATGCATCAATGTGCCGGTTAAAATGTGATGTAAAAGTTGTTCAACTTTATAATTTTTTTTGTAAAAACTGCATACTAGATATGAATATAAATATGGAGGTCCCCTGGACTGAAGTTTGTTAATTCGAAATATAATTTTTTTAAAGCGATATATCTCATATTTTTAAAATGCAACTCCGGAAACCGCGACGATGTTTTCAATGTATTTAGTATAGGGCTAAACCGAACCAGACGCCAGCCTTAATACCGTTTTCAACGCAATATTTTAGAATAAAGTAAGAATCATAACCTTTGCCATAATGTGCACTCTAGAAACTAACCATTTACAGAAATCTTTGTTAGTCTTAAAAGAATCAACATTACCGTAAAAATCGTGAGCTATAACTAAATTAGGTACGTGTTTGCCCGTTTCTTGCATCGCCTCATAATCAAAGAATAAATATTTTTGTGTGTAAGAGCATTTAGTTGTATTAAATGAACATCCGCAATTAAGACATTGATAACCGTTTTCGTTCTTTCTTGGTATTTTAACACAATATTTTTACATTATTTACATTGATAAATGTGAGATTTTACTCTTATGTTTGTTTTATCAGGAAAAGTTACGGTACAACCTATTTTACTACAGTTTAGGCATCCTTCTACTTTGTATTCTTCACCACCGTCTTTTATTTTTGTTTCATTGCATGTAACATTTATGTTTACGTATTTCAACCTCTTTATAACAATTTCTACATTTTTCCCAGCCACATTTGTGTTCTTTACTACCCTCTTCTATCATTTTGTTACTTTTTTTTTATCATTTTATTACCTCTTTCAATAATTTTATTACATTTTTGGATCATTTTCGGTTTTGTACAAATTAATCTATTTCCTTCTTCAATCATTTTTTTACCTTCGTCAAGCATTTTATCACCTCTTTTGAGTATTTTATTACACTTTAAGCATTTATGAAATCTTTCACAAACCTCAGAATGATTTTCTAAACATTCTTGATTAAAACAGTATCTATTGCATTTTTCGCAATATATTCTTTTAGCAGAATTTCCTTTGGTCATGAGGGTTTCGCCCGAATTCAGCAAAGCCTCACGATGAATCAAAGATTCAGAGTCTTCTTTGTGATTAGATTTGAAACACATTATGCATATTTTATCCTTTGTTTTGCATTTATGTTTATCTTTGTTTTGATATGGTTTATCACATTTTTTACAATAATAAGATTGACCATAGAAAGCTGTCATACTACCAATTGTATCAAAATGATTTCCATTTTTATATAAATATATTTTTATATCTTTTTCAGGCCCCGAATATATTATGGAATTAAAGCATTCCGCTGCTATGACTTTTATATGAATATTTAATACCTACTTTTTCTATATTTGCAATATCATCTAAGGTAAAATAATTTTTATTATATACTCCAAGCTGATTACATAGCTCTTGGGCTAAAGTTAATTGTAAATTTCTCCCCATTCTTATATATTTTAATTCATTATCATTATATTCTTTGCCTAGTATAATGTTTGTATGATAAGTTAATCCAACAATAACAGCTCTTAGACAACATAATCTATCTTTATTTTTAATTTGTGTTATACTTTTCTTTATTCGTGAGTCTTCTGTTATATTTAACAATCTTTTAGCGTTAGTAGCACCTATAGGCATATTAACAACTTCTGCATGAAATGTACAACCGTATATATCTAAATCTTGATTTGAAGTTAAGATACTTTGAATTTTGTTTAATAAATTATCAATTTCAGAAGTTCTTGATAACCCTGTGGAAATAGGGGAGCAAAGATCATTGCGATTAACTACTATATTTAATAAATCTCCTTCTTTGAAATTTGTTTTCTCTTTTACTATTTCAATCATTTCATTTAAACCCTCTCTAATGACAGTAATTTTTTTCATAATTATGTCTGAAAGATCTGACTCGGATGATTCTTCCTCTTTCAATAATATAACTTTATAGTAAACTTTATGTTTCTTCCATTTTTTGCTGTATTCAGCTTTTGTTTCTATTATTTTAATTTTAGGTTTTTTTGAAAACTCTGTAAAATAAGTATCTTCGAATGCAAAAGATTGCTCACCAATTTTTTGTAATAATTCTGCCTTTTTCATTTTTGAGTAACCTTTAATATTTTTTTCTTTAGCAATTTTTCTTAGTTCTTTTAACGTTTGATCCAGATTTGTCTTCGGTTCTTCTTTCAATAATTCTTTTAAACTAGGTGATTTGATTTCGTTGAGAAGAATGTTTATGTTATCATTGTTTACATTATCTGAAATTTGATTCAATAGATCTATTTTTTTACTATTTCTCTTTATGTTTAAGTTTGGTTTGCTAGCAATTGATTTTAATTTTTTAATACTAATCCTGCGTAATTTATTATGGCAATCTCCAGCATTGAGTTCTTCTTTTAAAATTAATTTTATAAGATCTGATTTAATTTTTGAGTTATATTTTGAGTAGTTCTTTAAACCTTGCCGTCTTGCAATGGTTTTTAATTTTTTCAAATTTAGTTTATTTAGTACAATTTCATTATCTGATGTTGGTGTTAAAAAATATTTATTCATCAATGACGATTCATTGTGAGACTTCGCTGAACTCTGCAAAGCTTCGTGGGCCAAAGGTGAACTCGAGGACGGGATATCTTTATTCGTTTGTTCAATTATCTCACCCAGTTTTTTTAAATCCCCTTTAGTAAGTTTTACAATTTCCTCAAGACTCATTTTAAGAAGTTGATCTTTCTGTATTGAATTGAAAATACAATTAGGAATCAAATAAAATTTCTCACTGGTGAAACATTAATTAAACATAACAAAAAATCAAACAATATAAAACAATATAAAACAATATAACAAAAAACAGAAACAAATTAAATCTAAACACAAATCAAACACATCCCAATCAGATTACAAAGCGTCCCTGAAAGCTGGCAGTACAAAAGAAGCTGAAGAAGAATTTGATAAAAATTTTAATAAGACTATAAATTCCCTATCTAATAAATAACGGCACTAATCGATGTTACAGACAAAAAACAGGTAAAAATTATTCAAAATAGAATAAAAAAAGACTGCATTGAGTTTAATAATTTATCTGTTGGCAATAAAGTTAAAGCATCTAATCAACTGTATATGGAAAACAGAATTTTAAAAGAATTAGGAAATGCTGCAATTGAAACAATAGAAAAGATGGACGAAGAAATCGAGCATAAAGATAACAAAATTAATGTATTGGAACAAGAATTAAAAGATGTAAATAGTTATGATGAAGAAAAAATAAACGCATTACTGAATAAACATCCTGTTATTATGTATAACAATAAAGAACGAGCAAAAAGAAGTTTAGCAAACACTCTTTCTCTAGTTAATAAATGAATACAGCGAATTTATTAATCAAGGCAAACTTAAAGATTGTTGAATTAAAAAAAGAAAAGAAAAAAATTATGTTTATTTTTATTTGTATCATTTCAATAATTCTTATAATAATGTTAGTTGCATTTCTGCTTCGTATATACCCTCTTTAATTTTTTCATCATTAAGATCAGAAACAAAATAAATCCAAACATTATATACACGTTTTTCTACAACTGTAAATATTTGTTCTGTCCAATTTGTTTTTAATTTGTTACGATATACGTCAACCATATTTGATAATTTAACTCTATCGCCAACTTCAAATTTTGGTTTTTTATTTGTTAATGTAATCATAGGGTAAATGTGTACAAGAGTGCGCATATGTATAAGAGTACGCACTGATGATTTCTGCTTATTAGTGCCATCTGGGTAAGATGAAGTTATACCATTCAGAATTTAATGTTAAACCTGAGATAAAGGTGCAAAAGTGACCTGAATATAGTTTATAGTTTGGTCGTACTGACGATTTTATGTTCACACGTTGTGTGGATGTAATTTTTACCGCTCATAGTTTTAGTTTTTTGTAAGGTACGTACCAGTTCTTTTATTTTACAGTAATAATTTTCATTAGTTGTAACTTTTAAGGTGTCGTTATACACTAACAGTTTTACACTTTCTGTCCATCAAAAGCTTTTAACTTTGAAAACATTAGGTTATGTACAAATGTACAAGAGTGCGCAGCGAGGTATTGTATAAGCGTGCGCATTGCTTGCAATATGTAGTCTAATAGTCTTGGAGATACATATCATACGGTAATGAATTATTTAACTCTACTACTTTGTACTGCTTCTCGAGTTGTGGGGTGGTGGTTATGGTGATTTTTTTTTTTATTTTTACTTCCTGAGCGTGTTGTAATCGAGTCCGTCGACCGACTTTCTATTTTTACGTTTTCTCGTCTTTTCAAGACCCCTAGAGTACGAAGAAATAGGTCTCCCGTTTTATGTGTAGTCTGTAGTCACTTATTCCCATTTATTTTCACCTTAGAAACAAATATTTTTTCATAAAATGTAATGCGTACTCATAAGCGTTCAAATGCGCACTCTTGTGCAATGAACTGTCTAACAGTGCGCATTTACACATCTTGACAAAAATTGAAATTACTCTTAAAATATAGTGGTGTTGGGGCGTACAATTAAATATATCTGATCTCTAAATATGTATATAACGAACCAATATCATAAAATTTGTCTATCCAAAAAAATTAAAAAGTTGTTGACAGTTTTACACTAAGTGCGTACTCTTGTACACATTTACCCTATATACGGTTTCTAATAATTTTCTTTCATTTCCTTTATTTACATCTTTTGGTTTCATTTTAATAGTAGTATGATAAGAATTGTTATAAGATTTTATAATTTTTGGAAGTGGTGAAATCCAATCAAAACTGTCATATAATATTGGCTTGAATTTATTTCCTAAAGTACGGTTGAACCTCTCAACAAAGAAAGCTTTATTTTTTGTTCCTGTACTATAAAGATTGATATTGTATTTATTTAAAACGATCCACATATCTTTATTATAAAACTCTTTTCCTTTATCAGCATGTAAATTTTTCGGCGGATTGTGTTTATCTTTAATCGCTTGTTGTATGATTTTTACAAATGCATTAGCTACTTCTAATCCTGATTTAGTTTTTAAAGGTTCTACCCATACAAATTTAGAAAAGGTGTCTTCAGCAACTAGAATATAGATAAATCCCTTGTTAATCTTTTTAAATTTATTAAAATCATTCGTCTTCGGCTTTGCCTCTTTTGTTCTTGTATCTTCAAGTATCATCAATACCTTTGTGTTGGAATACTCGTGTTTCATAGTTTTTCCTAGCAGGTTTGAATAATTCAATAATTAAAATATCTTCAGGTGATTTTGAAAAATTATTTTTCACTGATTGACAATTTCTGTAAGTTGATATTCTTCTCCAGCGTTTATATTTTACAATAAATTCCCTTCGGTCATGAGCGCTTCGCGCGAATTCTGGTTCTCCAGTGGATTTAGTTTTCGTTTTGCATATTTTGCAATAATCCATTTATTTGATTCTAATTCATGAGCGTCCCTGAAAGGGACTACGGCTCCTCAGGCCGATTTTTTTATATGTACTTTTCTTTTTACCGCATGCAAGACATACTGATGAGTAATATTTTTTACCATTTTTATCTTCTTTAACAATTATATTTTTGTTACCTGTGTTTGTTTTACATTTAACACAATAAGTTTTCGGTTTTAAATGTGGGCTTATCGATCAAATAATAAAACTAATTAATCGTCTGTGATTCACCTAAGGTATGCTGTATGCTACACATTTTCATACATTTTCATAGTTTCATTAACTGAAGGAATTTATACTTGAAATATGTATATGTACTCCTATATTTTTTAAATGACTTTAAAGACTTGGTCATTTTCTAGAGTGTATACCGTTTCGGTATACACCAAATTTTCCAACTCACATAATTCTTTTAAATAAATTTTATCTTCATTTTGGACGAAACCGTATTCTTGCTTGGAAAAACGGTGTATTTTCCTTGAATGCTGTTACCTTAATCGAACATATACAAGTCTCTTTAGTGTAGCTCAATCTTTTGTCACATTCAATAATTTGAGTCAAAAAAATCAAATACTAAATGATAATGGTCGCCTGCTTGATCTTGTGTTAGTGTCAGAGAATGTATCCTGCATAGTATCTTCAGCGGAAAGCTCACTTGTCCCTGAAGATGTCCATCATCCAAGCTTGTTAATAGAAATTTTGATAGAAACTGAATCCAAAGTAAAACTATTAGGAAATCAGAGCTGTACTAAATACAATTTTCGTAAGGCTAATTTTCAAGAGTTGTATAACGCTTTTTGTTCTCTGGACTGGAGTTATCTTGAAAAAATACGAGATGTAGAAATTGCTGTGGATGGGTTCTATGATAAAATATACCAACTTTTTGATAATTACGTTCCCAAATGTCCCATTACAACTTCTAAATTTCCAATATGGTTTACGAGAGATATTATTGTTTGTATTAGAGAAAAACAACGTTATTTAAAATTATATAAGAAATTCAAATTTGCCCTATACAAAGATAAAGTCTCCAATCTTAGGAAAATTATTAGAAAAAAAACACGTGAAGAATATCAGAAATTTTTAAAGGTTGCAGAAGACACCATACAAACAGATCCTAAAAATTTATGGAAGTTTATTGATAATAAAAGAAATGCTAGTAGAATTCCAGGAAATATGACATATGAAGATGAGTCTTTAATATCAGCTGAAGATATAGTGAATGGATTTGCTAGACATTTCAGGAATGTTTACCATCGTGATAGCAAATGTGTCTGTGATGTAAATTGTGATGAATGGACTTTCTGTGATATTTGTAAAATGAAAACGTCCAATTGTGTTCTAATTAACTGTGATAAAACCAACTGTGATATATTTAGTAATGCTCAAAATGTGCTACATAATTTCAAAATCACCTGCGACGATATCTACGCTGTTGGAAGAAAACTAAAAAATACGCATACTATGGGACCCGATAACATACCATCCTTCCTGGTGCGGGATTGTTTACCCTGTTTCGTACGACCTCTATTATATATTTTTAATTTAATAATAAATACGGCGCATTTTCCCAAAAAATGGAAATTTTCGAGGGTATGTTCAGTTTTCAAATCAGGATCTAAGAATGATGTAAGCAATTATAGACCCATAAATTTGCTGAACAACTTTGCTAAATTGTTTGAGGGAGTGATAGCTAAAGTTATATTTAGTCATGTATCGGGGATGATAGCACAGCAGCAGCATGGATTTGTAAAAGGTCGATCAACGGTGACCAACCTATGTGAATTTGTGCAGTATGTTTCGAATGCTCTTGACAATAAAAAACAGGTGGATGTTATATATACCGATCTAAGTAAGGCGTTTGATCGAGTAGATCACTGTATGTTAATTAACAAACTAAAACAATATGGATTATGTGATAATATAATTAAGTTATTCTGTTCATTAATACGTCACAGATTTCAGTATGTAGATTATGTAGGCACTAGATCGCAATTATATCAAGTCTCTTCAGGTGTGACACAAGGGTCGAATTTGGGGCCTTTGCTATTTCTAATGTTTGTTAATGATATCGTCAAAGTGTTGAAGTGTAAGCTCTTTCTGTATGCGGATGACCTAAAAATTGTGAAGATAATTACAAACAAAAATGATTGTGAGTATTTACAAAATAATTTAGATGTATTTCTACTCTGGTGTAGTAATAATTATTTAAAAGTAAACAACAAAAAGTGCAAAATAATAACTTTTAGTAGAAAATCGGAAAGTATTAGATACAGGTACCATATTAATAATGTTGAACTTGAAAGATGTATGCAGTTAATGGATCTTGGTGTTGTTATGGATTGCACGCTCTCGTTTGTACCTCACGTAAATTATGTTGTTAATTCAGCTATTAAAATGTTAGGTTTTATTACACGTAACACGTCTCAATTTAAAAATGTAAATTGTTTAAAATTGTTGTACACATCGTTAGTGAGAAGCAAGTTAGAATATTGTTGCGTGGTGTGGTCCCCTTTTTATAATGTACATATTAGTGACATAGAGCGGGTTCAAAGAAGATTTCTTAAGAGATTGTATTTTGTCAAATATAGTACTTATCCACAGAAACAATTTCCACATGAAATATTATTGAGAGAATTTAATGAAACTACATTGTGTTCTAGGCGAAATTTTTGTAGTGTACTATTCTTGTATAAGTTAATCCATAGTACTGTTGATTCTACTGAATTGTTGAGTCAAATTAATTTTAATGTTCCTAAATATGGTACCCGCTCTTCAGTTACATTTACTTTCAATACACCATCCACTAACCAACATATGCACTCTCCATTGGTAAATATGGTCAGATTGTATAATAACGTGCAACAGTTTGTTGATATTTTCGTAAATATATCTGAATTTATAGAAAATGCTAGAACAGCTTTGTTACATTAGCTAGACTTTAGAGAAAGTTTCTATTTTTATTTTTATTTTTATTTTTATTTTGTATTGGAATTTATATGATATATATATATATATATTACCCTGATATATACCGTATATTAAACATTAAATGTTTGCTGGGTTAATAAATACTTATTATTATTATTATTATTATTATTATTGAAATGTTGACTTTTTTAAAAGGGTACGTTTGGAAAAACAGAGTAAATTTCTCAAAAATTTAACTTTATTAAAAAGTTACCTTGAAAAACAGGACAAAATGATTAAAAAAGCAAAGTATTCTCAAAAGCTTTAAAATTCAAGTGGTTTTAAAAGGGGAATTTGTTTGTACGAAACCGTATTCACGTTTGATAAAGCAGGATATATTTCTTAAAATTTTGACTTTTTTAAAAAAGGGTGACTTCGAAAAACCGAGCAAAATCTTCAAAAATTTTAACTTTTCACAAGTTACCTTGAAAACCAGGCTAAAAGCATTAAAAATGTATTGTGTTCTGGGGGGGCCTGTATAGTAGTAACCAAATTTTTGGACGTTGTAAGCGAAATGGTAAATAAACATGGTCATGGGTGAGAGAAATATTAACTAAAAGTTTTATTACTAGTTATTGTGAAAATGAATGTGTTGGTTAGTTGTTAAACGTAGCAAAAGAACAAATTTTAAAATCATTATAATTCCATCGAAATGTGAGAAGGATTTTTTTACTATTTTTCTAGAGTCACCAGTTGATTATTAAGAGCGTAACGAAGAGTTAATCCGCCATTTTTTTAGCTGGAGAATTCCAGTCTAGTAAATTTACTGAATTACTGCCGATTTTGTCTCACAGAGGTCACACGTTTCTTCTAATAGAGAAATATGACTTTAAATTCGTCAAAGTAGACGCAAAAATGACCCACCTTTCTCCTTGAAACAGAACCAAGCCTGCAAAATCAAACCAAAATTTCATGTGACCGAACTAAGCATCACTGGCTCAGTTCAGATTAGACAGCTTTAAAAAATTAATACATGTGTGTATTTCTGACAATGAAGGCCGCATTCATAAAAACTGTTTAAGATTGATTAAAAATGTTAGCAGTTATAATTTTTTAAAGTGACATGTTTAAAAAAAATTGGAGCCACGGGTGTGTGTAACCTGTTTGTGTTTGGTTTGATCTAGTTCCTTGTAATGTTTAATTCAAGTATTATACTGCCTTTTATAAAAACTCAGTTAAATACGAAATTACACGTTTTGCTTGCTTTGATAGTATTTCCACGTAAGGAAAAAATTTACAAACAAGGGCGGCTATCAAATCAGTACGCCTAAACCACAGTAATTCAAAGTTGATCTCATGTTATTAATACTTATTAGACTTTGAACTACAATGAAACAAATCCAGTTTTTTAGAAAAACAATGTAGATAAAAGCAGTCACAATGTAAAAAAAAATGTAAAGGAATCGAAATAAAAATTGTACCGAATCTCTCGTCGTTTTTTATATGTTCATTTGAAGTTAACTTCATTTACACTTTTTTGCCTCCTAATACTATTAATTACAATAAAAAATTAACATCAGTATTGTCAGCAATCCAGTCCAAAAAGCTCGTCACTCTTGTAAACGCTGAAGCATATCCTGGCAAACAATAATTGATTCCGAACGACACAATCCCAATTTGAACCCCATCCATAATCAAATGGGCCAAAATCTTCGGCACATTCGTTATTAGTGTTACTAATTTAATAGAGTTAGAAGTTAAAATACCTTAATTCAATGCCTCGGTTCATCAAGTACCAAAGGTCACTCTGAGGGTGTTACAAATACTTTTTCTGAGAGAAATAACACAAGGGTAATAGATTTTTCGTTTATTTTATGTTTACATTTCATACTTTACATATTCCCTTTTGTATTTAACATTAATTTATTATGACATCAGTATTGTCACCTATCCAGTCTAAAAAATTCACAACCCTGGTATGAAATCCAGGATAACCTTCCAAACAATAGATATTAAAGGAAACTATTCCGATAAGAACACCATCCGACACGAAACCACTACCATTATCACCATTACAAGGACCTACATACATATCATTAAACTCTCCAGAAGTACAAAACATGCTTCCTGGTGGTATATATTCCCGACAATCTTCATCCAGACTACTTATAACAGTGGTATCAATATATCGTAAAAGGTCGAATATTCGGTCGTCAAAACCATCATCTGAACCCCATCCAGCAATCCGTCCCACCACCCCCAAATACACTGTATCAATATCAGCTCTTTTTGGTAGTGTAACTGGCTGAATAGCGTCAGTGTAATCGATGGTTCTCGGGAGCTTAACTACAGCAATGTCGTTAAGCCATCCATAAATTTCGCCAAAATGTTCATGAACTATAATATCTGTGCTGTAGACGTTGATTTGGGTAGTTTCTGTGATGAAGGCATTATGAGCACCAAGAGTTACCAACACCTCAAGAGTACTATAAAAAGTTATCAAATCTTCATATTTTCTGGGTACTTACTTATTAGCACAAGTTGCAGACGTTAAAACATAGTGTTGTGAAATGACGGAACCGCCACAGTACCATCCGTAAGTTTCTGTATAAAATTCAAGAAGAGCTTGATATGGTATGGAGTGAGGTTCTGCAATGTTTCCTCCCACAGTTCTTGGTGAAGGATTCAAGTTGGTTTTTCTACGGGAAACCAATACAGGAAACTAAAATATAAAACTAAAGGAGTTATAGATACCACCGCAAAATTTACCTCTGGGGCTGCAAAAGTCAAACAGATTAAAGTCAAAACAAAGATAATAGTCTTCATGGTTTCGTAAGACGTTTCCATTGCACTTAATTTTTTTTCTGTTTATATTCTCAGTTGTTATCTTCTAGTAAGTGGTTAATCTCGATTATCTTGTAATTCAAACGTTAAATTTTATATAAAGTTAATTTTGTTATACACTTGACGAGAAAACAAAACTTGGGTGATGTAATAGTTAAAATACTTTCAACTGGAGGTTTTTGAAAAGTTATAATATCTATCAAGTGTTTATAGGAGATTCAAATATTAAAAAATAACCTAAACTCGTTTTTAAAATTGAATTGTTTATTTATTACACTTCAGGATCAACAAATGATGACCTGTCTAAACAATTTTGTTATTCTATTACAACATCACTGTTATCAGCAATCCAATCCAAGAAACTGGCAACCCTAGTATGAAATCCAGGAAAATCTTCCAAACAATAAAGATTAAAGGAAACTATTCCAATAAGAACACCATCCGAGACGAAACCACTGCCTTCATCTCCATTACAAGGACCCACATACGTATCATTATACTCTCCAGAAGTGCAAAACATACTTCCCGGTGGTATATATTCCCGACAATCTTCATCCAGATTACTTATAACTGAAGTATCAACATATCTTAAAAGATCGAATATTTTTCCCCCGAAACCATCATCTGCGCCCCATCCAGCAATTCGTCCCACCGCTCCGATATACACAATATCGGCATCAGCCCTTTTTGGTAGTGCAACTGGCTGGATAACATCATTATACTCGATAGTTTTCGGTAGTTTAACAAGAGCAATGTCGTTAAACCAGCCATAATCTTCGCCAAAATGATCATGAACTATAATATCTGTGCTGTAGACGTTGATTTGAGTGGGTTCTGTGATGAAGATATTGTGAGCACCGAGAGTTACCAACACCTCGAGGGTACTACAATGAAAGTTACGAAATTTTCTGTGCGATACGTTTTCAGAACTTACCCATTGGCGCACGATGCAGATGTTAGAACATAGTTTTGTGAAATGACGGAACCACCGCAGTACTGTCCGAACGTTTCTGTGTAAAATTCTAGAAAAACTTGGTACGGTATGGAATGAGGTTCTGCAATGGTTCCTCCTACTACTCTTGGTGATGAATGGGTTCGTTTGAAGTTTCGACGAAGGTGTAATCTGCGAGACTAAAATAAAGAGTAGAAGAACTAACAAGTACTACCGTGGTGTTTACCTCTGGGGCTGCAAGAGTCAAACAGGCCAAAGTTAACACAAAAATAATAGTTTTCATGGTTTGATCAGATAGTTCGGTGGTCCTCAATCAAGTTTTGCCCTTTATAGTGTCAGTTGTTATCTTGCAGTGAATAGATAACCTGTATCTTATAATTCATCCATTATAATTTTTATGAAACTAACTTCTGATGAAAAGGACACTTAATAAAATCAAGCTTTCGAAATGACAAATTGGGTGATGCAATATTAAAAGTGCAGATTAATACAAATTTTATTATTTAAATGACATTACAAAACTCATTATTTCTAAACTCCTTCAATTTATTACAACGTCAGTGTTGGTTTCGATCCAATCCAAAAACCTCGTCAACCGACTAAACCCAGAAGGATAGCCACGAATGCAGTCCAAAATTCCAAACGAAACAACACCAATCTGTACACCATTGAGAACAAGCGGCCCACCAGAATCACCATTACAAGAACCAGTATTGCGAGCTCCAGATGTACAAATCACCGATGGCAGAAGAATCCCAAAAACTTTCTCACATTGCCTATTATTGATAACCGTAACATCCACGTAATTTAAAACTTCCGACAGGTCATGATTTTGACCGTCGGTCAAACCCCAGCCACTAATTCTTGCATCAGCACCCTCAAAAGTGTTGTCAATGTCACTTCTACTAGGTAAAACCGTTGGCTGAATAGCGTCTGTTAGAGTAACGGGTTCTGGGAGTTTGATAACACAGACATCATTATTTAATCTGGTTTCATGGTACTTTTCGTGGACGGTGATATCGGTACTGGTTACAACGACTTGAGTATCTTCGGTTTCTGTGATTTTATGAGCACCGAGGGTTATGATGGCGGTGTCTCCACTAGAATTACGTGTTTCTGATGAGTGCAAAACTAAATAGGTACTTACTAGAAGCCACAGTGGCCTGCTGTAAGAACATAGTTTTGAGAGATGAGCGAACCACCACAGTACCACCCAAAAGTGTCGTTATGAACTTCCAAGAAAACCTGATAGGGAATGGAATGGGGTTCCGCTTCGTCACCACCCATGATTCTTGGACTAAATTCGGATTTCACTTCAATGATGGGTTCTTTATACATGCGAAGAAACTGTAAGTCGGAGGACTAAAACACATTTATTTTAGTTTGCGTGTGAAGCATGTTTGAGTTGTCGTACCTTTGGTACTGCAGCTTCCAAGGCTGCAATAGCCAAAACAAAAACAATAAGCTTCATGGTTTGTTCACACACTTTGATTAAATAAAAAATCTGTCAATCTTTTATAGTTGATCTTATCGTATATTGTTCCTTAGCATAAAATAGATGATTTGGTACTTCAGATTACATAAGCAGGATGCGGGATTTAAGTTTGTACTGGTTGTAAGTGGACGGTTTTGAATAGAGTTGCACGTGATGCAACAATATGTTCTTTTACAAGTATGTTAAGAATGATAGAAGAAGGCAGTCAGAATGGATTAAAGATCCAAAGTTGTAGTGCTATCAGATGTCGCAGAACTAAAACCGAAATCTGAAATTTCTAAAAGACTCCACGAAAGGATACAAAAATTCAGAGGAACGAAAGAGAAACAAAAAATTCCAAAGTAACTAAAATGCAATATTTTAATCGGTTTGTGCAATTTTTGTATTGTTATAGTTATTATACATATTAGAGACAAGGTTAATTGCATTCCATCTATTACTAATTTTTATAAACAATGAGTTTGTTTCGAGAAGTAAATAACAGTAGCATCAAAATATCATTTTATTTTTGTAATCGATTCAAAGCTTACATCATGCATTTTCGCAAAATAGAACACCAAGTTATCTCTGACAAAATCTAAACACTTTCACGCTTCCTATAGCTATAATCTAAAGTACTAAATGGGATAAGTGTGTTTTTCTGGTTAAAGGTAAACACATCAAAAATCAAGTGATATTTATGGTAAACATAAATAAAAATATTGACAAAAATTATTGATGTATACCGGGTGTCTGGAAAATGGCAGATTTACTCTTCAGTATGTTATGTACTAGGTTTTCGGGATTCCCAAAAAAATAATTATTTGTGATGTAGATTACGAAAAAACGTAAAGTCAAACTGGCAACACTGTATGCACCTAATGCGTGAATACCTTCAGCTTACTTTCTGATTTCTTAGTAACGATGGTGACTGAAAAGAAAAATCCATAACCAACTAGAGAAGATGTTCAAAATTCCTGCCTTGTACTTGCTAAGATAAGACTTATTTCGGCAAATGATATGTCCTGTGAGAAAATAGGGGGCGGATGGGCGGTCCTAGTATTTGTTAAGATAAAGCTGATTTTGCCCCTATTAATCTTGTAAAAACTTGTGAAGTTTAAAGATGTTAAATTGTAAATTCCTATAGTAACGAGTTAAATTCCTAAGTCTACCCAAAATGTGCAACATATGAGTTTTTACTCATGATCCATCATTGCATTCATATTTTAGATTTGGTTAAACAGGTGGCTCAAAAAAAAATCATGAATGAGCCAATATATTTTATTGAATAAATCAGGGACGACTCACTCTATTTTCCCTGAAACTTTTAGGAATACAATACTGTTATTTTTAGTGTTACACTGTACCAATCTAAGTAGATTGTGTCCTTTCAAAAATGTTGATGACGTTACCACAAAATTGTGTAAAAAAAAACTCAACTCGAAAATGCTGAATATGTTTCATTGGACTTTAGGTATCGAAACAACTTTCCATCAATTTTTTCAAGTTTTATGAACAAATAGTAGCCCCGCTCACCCACCCTCTCTTCATTCCGGTGACTACTCTTAATATTGTTCAGATTTACCTTAGCAAGTAAGCTCGTAATGTTTCCAAATTTTGGTTAATTTTTGTAAAAGTTAGTCATCAGTACTTGCTAAGATAAAATTGATTTTGGCAAATGACATACCTTCTAAAAAAAGAGAGGGTGGGTGGGCGGGGCTACTAGTTGCTAAGATAAGATCGATTTTGGCAAATGATATACCCTGTAAGAAAAGAGAGGGTGGGTGGGCGGGGCTAGTACCTGCTAAGATATGACTGATTCTGGCAAATGACATACCCTGTAAAAAAGGAGAGGATGCGTGGGCGGGAATAGTAGCTGCTAAAATAAGACCGATTTTAGCAGATGACATACCCTCTAAGAAAAGAGATGGTGGGTGGGCGGGGCTAGTACCTGCTAAGTAAAGGGTGATTTTGGCAAATGTGATACCCTCTAAGAAAAGAGTAGGTGGGTGGGCGGGCCTAGTGCTTGCTAAATTAAAAGTAATTTTAGCAAATGAGATACCCTCTAAGAAAAGAGAGGGCAGGTAGGTGAGGCTAGTATCTGTTAAGATAAAAATGATTTAAGCAAATTACGTATTCTGTAAGAAATTTAATGTAAACGGGTTCCCAAATTTAGTCAAAAACAAGTCAGGTCCGAATTTTCCAAAAATAGAAACGCCAAGGTCCCCTAAAATTGTTTTAAATAATTTACAAAAAAATGTCCATGGGTCCCTACAATAATATACAATGGGTACTCAAGAGTCTCCCGAATTAAAAAAAATCACTGCGGCCCTGAAGAGCATTTAAAATTCATAAAAAATAAAACACTAAAAATTCAAAAGATTTTTTCAAGTTCATCCAGCAACAAAACACCAGATTTCTTTAAATTTCACGCTTTATATCAGGCACACATTGTCAAATGGAATTTTTTTAAATTATTAAAAAACAACACAACCATACCTTTGTACCTACGTTCTAACTGAAATGGAAATTAAATATGGTCATGAGCGAAAGAAATATTAACCTGTGGGGTGATCAAGTGATTGAAACAGTACTTGCGTTTTGGCGTATTTATTTTGATGTTGTCGGAACGGCGATTGAGGGAACAGTCCTGGAGTTTGTGAAATTGAAATGAAAAGAAAGGTCGGTAGAAAGCGGTGGAAACAGTTGTGTCTAAAGGGCTCTTGGAAGGTATTTGAAATCTGGGAAAGGATAAGTATTACTGAGAAGGCTGAACAAAAATTACGACATGCAGGTGAACGAAGATTATATACAAATATGCAAATGCTATACAATTTTGTGGGACTTGCCAGCCCCCACAAACTAAAAGTTTTATTACCAGTTATTGCGATCATTAATGTGTTGTTTAGTTGTTAAACGTAGCTAAAGAACCGATTTTAAAATCATTATAATTCCACCGAAATGTGAGAAAGAATTTTTTTACTTTTTTCCCACCAGTTGATTGTTAAGAGCGTAGCGAAGATTTAATCCGCCATTTTCCAAACTTCCGGTATAGTAATAAAGGGTTTAGTTGGAAAATTCCAGTCTAGTAAATTTTACTGCATTATACTGCCGATTTTTTCACACAGACGTCTGACGTTTCTTCTAATAGAGAAATTATGACTTTAAATTCGTCAAATTAGTCACAAACGTAAATACCGTGGGTCACGCTTCCATCTCCTTGAAACAAAACCAAGCCTGAAAAAACAAATTAAAATTTCATGTGACCGAACTAAGCATCACTGGCTCACTTCAAATTAGACAGCTTTGAAAAATTAATACATATGTATATGTATTTCTGACAATGAAGGCCGAATTCATAAAAACTGTTTAAGATTGATTATGAATATTAGTAGTTATAATTTTTTAAAGTGACACGTTTAAAAAAAAATCGAAGCCACGGGTGTGTAACCTGTTTGTGTGTGGTTTGATCTAGTTCCTTGTCATGTCTAATTCAAGTATTACATTGTTTTTTATAAAAACTCAGTTAAATACGAAATTAAATACACGTTTTGCTTGCTTGGAGATTTTCTAAATAAGCGAAACATCATGTAGGTAAAAAAAACTGAAAAAGTGTTCAACATGAAAAAAATTATAAACGAGTGTTATTAGTACTGATAAGACTTATTGGACTTTGAATTACAATGAACTACAAGTCACGTCTAAGAAAAAAAAAGTTAAAACCTTTACATTGTTGCACTTTTAAGAGAGTACTTCATAAAATGCGTCCTATATGAAATATTGATAATATTATCGTTTATTTATTTTTATCGTTCTATGGGAAAACCATCTCTGTAGATAAATCCATGAATCGTGAGAAAAACCGAACTTGTATATGGTGCTGCAGAGATCCAACATGTCTCCCATTCTTTTCAAGTTCAGGTTGAGAACTAGTCAAAGACAGCCAGTGGAGGTTAATCAAAACTTTATTATTGAACTAACACTACATTCTATAGATAAACCTCAATATTGTCAACTTTGCTCAATTTATGACAACGTCAGTGTTGGTCTCGATCCAATCCAAAAACCTCGTCACCCTGCTAAACCCGGAAGGATACCCAACAATGCAGTCCATAACTCCAAACGAAACAACACCAATCTGTACGCCATTGGCAACAAGAGGTCCACCGGAATCTCCGTTACAAGAACCAGTATTTCGAGCTCCGGATGTACAAATCACCGATGGCAGAAGTATACCGAAAGTTTTCTCACACTGCCTGTTATTGATGACCGTAACATCCACATAATTTAAAACTTCCGACAAATCATGACTTTGACCGTCGGTCAAACCCCAGCCACTAATTCTAGCATCAGCACCCTCAAAAGTGTTGTCAATGTCACTCCTGCTAGGTAGAACCACTGGCTGAATAGCGTCTGTTAGAGTGAGGGGTTCTGGGAGTTTGATCACACAAACGTCATTAGTTATTCTAGCTTCATGGTAATTTTCGTGGACGATGATGTCGGTACTGGTTATAAGGACTTGAGTGTCTTCAGTTTCTGTGATTTTATGAGCTCCGAGGGTTATGAAGGCGGTGTCTCCACTAGAATTACGTGTTTCTGATGAGTGCAAAACTAAATATGTACTTACTAGAAACCACAGTGGCCTGCTGTGAGTACGTAGTTTTGGGAGATGAGGGAACCACCACAGTACCACCCGAAAGTGTCGTTTTGAACTTCCAAGAAAACCTGATAGGGGATGGAATGGGGTTCCGCTTCGTCACCACCGATGATTTTTAGTTCAAATTCGGATTTCACTTCATTGATGGGATCTTTATACATACGAAGAAACTCTAGGTCGGAGAACTAAAACAAATTTCTTTTAGTTAGCGTGTGAAGGGTATTTGAGTTTGTCGTACCTTTGGTACTGCAGCTTCCAAGGCTGCAATAGCCAAAACAAAAACTATAAGCTTCATGGTTTGTTAATACACTTTGAGTAAAATTAAATCATGCCAGTCTTTTATACTTGGTCTTATCGTATATTTTTCTTTAATATAATAGTAAGTGATTCGGTACTTCAGTTTACATAAGCAGGATTAGGGATTTAAAAATGTATAGTAGTTGTAAGTGCACGGTTTTGAATAGAGTTGCACATGATGCAACAACATGTACTTTTTACAAGTGGGTTATGGATGTCGGAAAAAAGTAATCACAATTGATTAAGGACCGAAAATTTGACCCAAAAAATGAGTTTTAGTCATTATAGTTCAAGAAAAAAAAATTTCAAAATGATGAAAATGCAATATTTTAATTCATATGTATTTTTTTTACTTTCCATTTGTTGTTATCTTTGGTTAAAGTAAAAAAGCGTACCTTATCAAAACAATTTCGAATAGAAAACTTATTTTCTATGAGTAGGTTGTCATGTTCAGTTAGAGTTTTTTTTACACCAGACAAGTGATTACGAGAATGTCAAAATAGATAAAAATTAAGGAAAACATGTAATAACAAAAACACCTTTTTTTAAGAAAAGATTGTTTTTTTTTGGTAAGACGGATGAGCGAAAAATTTTGTTATCATAACCTATGAATTTTTGCAATTCAACGGACAATTTTCCACTTAATAATAATAATAATTTTAAACAATTATAATAATATCTCACATTTCTTCTATCAAAAAAAAAATATATATATATATATAAGGCAGACCGAATTCATAAAAAATTATTCAAATAGATGAAACATGTTCGTAATACTTTTTCCATATCTGACATGATGTAACGTTTATCCCCATAACACCGAAAACACCCAAAATATTTGCCGACGCGTTTCGCCAACCACGTTGGCATTATCTGGACATGCCTATTTTTTTTCTTTTCTTTTTGATGTAGATTACGAAAAAAAAAACATAATTTTGTGAAAGTCAAATTGGCAATACTGCACGCACCTAATGCGTGAATACTTTCTGATTTCTTAGTAACGTTAGTGACTGAAATCCACCTTTTTTTTAGGACAATAATCATAACAACCAGTAGTGATTAATCGTTGTGCATTATTATTAATAAAACAAGTTGTTATTTTTTATTAATAAATAAACCAAAAAAATACATTTTAATAAGACATTTATAAATCATAAACAAAAACAAAAATAACAAAAAAATCCATTAAAACATAACCAACTACCACTAGAGAAGTTGGTCAAAATTCCTGCCTTGTGCATATAAGTAAGCTTATAATGTTTCCAAATTTTGACATTTTTTGTAAAAGTTAGTCATCACAAGCTTGCTAAGATAAAACTAATTTTGGCAAATAACATACCTTCTAAGAAAAGAGAGGGTGGGTGGGCGGGGCTAGTTGCTGCTAAGATAAGACCGATTTTGGCAAATGAGATACCTTCTAAGAAAAGAGAGGGTGGGTGGGCGGGGGAAAAATCTAACACAAAGTTTGCAGATAAAGTAGCAACTCATATATTTGCTATATATCTGCCGCATACATGTGTTGTTTCGTCAAAAACAAAGTAAATAAAGTTATTTTGCAAACAGCAACATTTATCTACAGTTGTTTACCTGAGAGTACTTTTGTCTGGAATGGTCCTTTTACAGTATTTTTCCAAAAATGAATTAAACGTAGAATTACTGAACTTATTTAATGGAATATTCGAGGCAAGCATGCCCTGGCATAAATCGAACTTGAATGTTTTCTCTTCGTTTTTGGCAGATAACAACAGATAGGAGAAACTCTATCTGTTGTTGATGTTTGAGTTACACTGGTTGAGTTTCTTTTTTCACAGTTTCTTTTGTGAAGAGGCGTTCTGCAGTGGTGGTCTATAAGATGTTTCTTTGTGCTCGAAATCTGTAAAAAAAAAGAAAACAAATAATTAATAATTTAGTCTAAGTACTGAAACTATATTTTAACTTACTGCTTTGCGGCAAGGTTTGCAAGAAACACCATCAATTTTGCATACTATCCGAGCATTAATTATTCTAACGCACCAAGTAATCCAAAGATTCCATCTCTGACAAGTTTAGAAAAAAATTCGCATCGTGCGTAACCTGTTTGCGTGTGGTTTGACCTAGTTCCTTGTCATGGTTAATTCAAGCCTTCTTGTGGCAACGTAGTTAAGTACCAATTTATACGCTTTGCTTGTTTTGATATTGATATCAGCGGAATTCATAGGTAATAAGAACTGTGAAAGTATTTCAACGTTCGGAAAAAATCATCATAAACATGCAATTACTCATCGTGTCTGGTGTGAAGGTACTCAACTGATATGCCAAAATCACAATTAAAAATATACAAAACCGAGATAACTTTTTAAATAATTAAGGAGCTTACAGTATTTTTGTTTTTCTGGTACATCCTGTAGGATGCTTTCTTGTGCTGGTTTCAACTATGATATATTTTATTATAGTTTGGTAATGATCATCGATAGAATTTTGATTTGTCATCCTTTTCCGTTACGATTGACACAATTTTTAACGAAATCGACCTACTACAAAAAAAAGTTTTTATAGGCTCTCAGCTGGTCACTTTCCTAAACGTTGTGGAGTAAGTTATGGAGAAAAAGTAGTATAAAAACTTACCTTAGGTGGTATCACAAATATTTATTCCACTCCCAATCGTTCCGTTGGACCAGAAAAAATTGATTCTAATTAATTAAAAACAGTTTACTACATATTTTCTTTGTTTATTGTTAACTGAGAATAAATACAGAAGCTATGCAACACTGACAATAAAAAAATCTTCATGCTGATTTGGCTATATTTTATCTATATTTTTGTTTCTTATCAAGATTTACTTATCTTAGACTTACTTGTATTTTTATGTACACTTCAAGAAAACTACGCAATTTTATTTGTTGATGCAATTTTATTAAACTTATTTTAATACATTCACCAACTGGCGGAAAATAGGTCCTTAAATAATCCCTATTTACACCCACGAATCGCCCAAACTAAGCAAAATACTTAGTTAATCTGAACGTCCGTATTATTTTCAATCCAATCCAGGAAACTAGTAATCCTGGTGAAAGCCGATGGAAATCCAGGCAAACAATACACAATTCCAAAAGACACCAAACCAATCTGCACCCCATCCACAACAAGAGGACCACCCGAATCTCCACTGCAAGATCCAGTGCCTTCGTCTCCAGAAGTGCATACAATCGAATTAACCAAAGAACCAAAAATGTCTTCGCACTCCCTGTTCGAGATAACTTCAACATCCACATAGTTCAGCACGTCTGACAACTCATCGCCAAAGCCGTCAGTCAAACCCCATCCGCTAATTCTGCCTGTAGCACCAGCGTAATTATTGTTGGCGTCAGCTCTGCTCGGCAAGGTGGCCGGCTGAATGGCATCCGTGAGAGTAACAGCCTCTGGGAGCTTGATGACTGCGATATCGTTAGTGATCTCGTCAGCGTCGTAAGCTGGGTTCACTGTGATGTCGGTACTGGTGAGCTGTACTTGAGTACTCTCACTCTGGAGGGGTGTGTGGGCTCCGAGAGTAACTAGAGCTTCGACTGCTCTAAAAAAAAAAGTACTTAGTCAAAATAAAAATTTTAATAGGACAAACTTACTCGTCGCCACAATGTCCAGCAGTTAGTACGTAGTTCTGCGAAATGAGAGACGCACCGCAGTACCACCCTTCACTACTAGAATATACTTCCAAGAAGGTTTGGTACGGAATTGAGTGAGGTACGGCTTCTTGTCCTCCAATGATTTTGGGTGTAGGTCGGACGGTAATTTCGCCCACTGGAGGTTTGAACAAATTGCGGAAGTGCAATTTGGTTGCCTGGGTTTGGAGTTAGCAAAAATTTGGACGAGATTTTGGGGAACTTACCTTGGGGGCGGCAAAAGCCACGGCTGCGATTGCCAAAATAAGGATAGCTGTCTTCATGTTGTCTGTGCAAGTTGGTTAAAATTTTCACGTATTTATACACCTGCGAATGCTATCAGCTTTTCTTAAGGGAAAAAATGCAGAGATAGACTCTCAGACGGCTGTCACTTGAGATTAGTGCGTTAGTTAGAATTAGGGGCTCTAAGTGGTCGATTATATTTTAATTTTGCTGAAGCCTTTGTTTCATTGTCAGTCTCGTTTAGAAAAAAATAAAAATAGGTGACGCATGATGCAAGGAACAAATAGGTAACTTAGATAGTTGTTTCCAAAATGGAATACAGTTTGTAAGTAACACTATGGGACTTCAGTTAGGTAAGACTTTTTATCAATGTTCGTTTTATTTTATTTTTTGCATTTTATTTTTGATGACAGAGTTACGTTCTAGAATTGCTTAAAATACACAGGTGCCAAAAATACGAAAAACTGTTACCTAGTTAAATATAAAAATGTTTGTAAAATTATACATAGAATTTCCCTGACTTCTAAAGCACACCTCGTACAGCATATTGCTTAGTGGTTGTTGAAGTCATCATTCACTGATATTTTTCTTCGTCACGTCTTCAACTTTCCAAAGAGGACGAATACATCATTTTTATTTATAGGCCCATCATTCCCAAAATATATGCTACTAAATATCTTATCGAAATTTCGAAAAAGTGTATTATATAATCTCTGAGATAAATGTAAAATTTGATAATCCGGGCTTATTTTTTTAGTATATCTGCAGGTAAGGTGGAAAAACATTTTATTTTTTAAAAATACTTTTGAAACCTTAGTCAGTTGAATTTTTATTCATTTCTTTATTTTTAAATGTTAAGGGGACTCGCTAGACGAGGTATAACATTTTTTTGGTTTTTTGTATGAAAAAAATGATATAAATATAGATGTATCACACATCAAACTGAGCTTTTTTCATATTCTAGAGCGCAGAGACTAGTTCACTCAATTAAAAAAATATGGCTGAGAAATATCGTAAAAAAAGCACCATTGTATTTTTTCTTTTCAAGTTTTTTGAGTCATAACCATCATAGAATCGCTTGAAAATTCGCACATGGATAAAACATCACGTTTTACAGGGCGCAGAGTCATTAAATGTTTGTTAGTGGTACAATTTGTTTAAATAATAATGTGTTTATTAAAATCAAAATATACCACAAATTAATGCAAAATACGTCGAATAATTTTAACAGGAATATCAGAGGAAAATTAATGATCTATTGGTTAGCAGAGTTTTTAATAAAAACTAACAATTACTGAAAAAATGGGTATCAATTCGACAGAATTTGAGCAGTTAGTTCAGTACTTTGCCGATAGGAGCGCCACTAAAATTTACGGAAGCGACTTTCCAGGTATAGTGAACCAAGAGCTATAAGGTTATATGGCCATCATAAAATCATCCCATTGTGTCGAAGTTACGTTGTTTACAATAGAAAAGGTTTTAGGGTCGTAAATAACGTGTCCACTGCAGCTCGACCGGCTCTTGTGGTTTCGTTCAGGGGCGGCTTTCAGTAAATATGAAAATCCACCACTCCACTATTTCTTTACTACCTGAGGGTTCCGAAATAACCACTCGCTTTGAAAGCCGGCCCTGTTAAATATGAGCAAGAAATGTTTAGAAGATGATTTATTGCCAACCGGTAAGCTTAGTGCGAACCACACAAAGGGGGTATTTATTTGCGGTCAACTACTTTTATGATGGCCATATAACCTTATAGCTTTTGGTTCACTATAAAACCCTTATCGCCTGCTCTACCATAAGCTGATTGTTAGAGTTCTCGACTGATTTTTCTAATTTATGGCAAGGAACTCAATTTTGTAACAAGCCGCCAGGACCGGCCGTAGTAATCTATTGTTAAGGAAATTAACTTTTACGCAAAGAGGCACTATCATAAAACCGAATTAAAACTGGAGAACTATAATATTTTTACTCCACTCAAGATCCTGAATTCAATACACATGATTACTAAAAATTAATTGTAATATTATTGTTAATATATATTTTGCTTTGTTAATTAATAAAACTAATAAACATATTTATAATAATAATAAAAAATATATAAAATACAGCTTTTGTTTAACACGTATAAGTAGCTAAGTGTATCTACTACTTATCCCAGAAAGGAGGCGTTTTAAAAAAGCCCTGCGCCCAGTAACTTCTCCCTTCATTGTTTACTCGAAAAAAGTGCTCGTATATATTTTCATTTGCAGAGAGATAATTTTCAAAATATATTTATAATAAAAATATGCAAGTCTTGGTGATGAAAAATGTACTGCTAATAAATTATTAAAGTACATAAAAAAAATAGAAACAAATTTTATTTATTTAAAAAAATCTCTCGCAAAGGCAGGTTCCTTTTTCTTCTTGAATCAATTATTTCGGGCAATAATGCGCCAAAGTAAAATCTGCCAAGTTTATCTGTCATCTTTTTACATATTTCTTCGTCTTTATAAATTTTTTCTATATTTATTCCTTTGGGTGTCCACACAACAAAATAAACTTGTGAAATACCCGTAACAAGCATTGGTCCTTGGACTTGAAAGTAGTAATCATGATTTTTTTTTAGTTTCAATTCTCTGTCTGTCAATGTACAAAATTTGATTATTTTTTTTTTTCTAACCGCTTCTTCGCAAGACAAATCTTGCGATTTTGAAGGGCATTTAATTTCGACTAATGCACTCCCATCCTCTAAAACCCTGTCTGGACTAGCAGCCAAGTAAGGAAATTGTTTTGAAATAAACAAGCCACACCGTTCAGTTTTTATATTTTTATTTATTTCAAAAGAGTTGACAGCTTTTTCCTCACTTTGCTGTCCATAGTATGTATGACTATTACCTCTAAATGTAGAGACTCCACAGTTTTAGCTATTGCTGTAGTCGGTCTAAGTTTGTAAATACGTCCAAAATTTGAAGCCGTAACCCTAATTTCTCTTTCTTTTCCCCAAATGTACCTGTTGCCTAGTGTCTATTTCAATTTGGTCTAAATTCAAAGATAATTTTCTCAAAAAAACCTCTTTGGCTGTCACAAATGTTTCTACATCCATGACAGGATTTTCTAAAAAATATTTAAACCATAATCGCAGTCGGGACCAGCATACGTACATTTTTTTATGACATATTTTTTTTACGAATACTTTGTCTAAGACGAGCTTGCTTCATAGACGAACAATATTTTTTTGTTATTAAACCAGGACCATTTTAATCACAATATATTTACTTATCCCCTCTAAAAAATTGATGACGTCATCTCAAAATTTTGCTGAATAAATCCTATCTAAAATAAAATGTACAAAATATGATGAGTCTTTTCTTGTAATTTATCATTCCATTCAAATTTTTTGGATTCGGATATACAGGATGACTCAAAAAATTTAATGAATGCGCAAATTTATTTTATTGATTTAATCAGTAACTACAAAACCGAATGCTTTGAAATCTAATGTGAAAAAGAAAACATAATAGGCATGCAGTCGTCACGTTTCCGATAGCGAGGGAAGTACTGTCTAAACTCTTTAGACCATTTTTTTTTATTTTCCCATTTCTCCATTTCTCAATTTTTCAATGTTTTAGTTTGGGATTTTTTCACTGTTTCGATTCTTTAATTTTTCTTCCATTTTTAGGTTTTTCAATATTTCAGCTTTGGAATTTTGCAATATTTCGTTTCTTCAATTTTTCAAATTTTTGATATTGTGTTTCTCGGTTTTTAAATATTTCGATATTTTAATTTTTCAGTTTTTAAAGTTTTAGATTTTTAGATTTCTCACTATCTCGACTTTTCGATTTTGCAGTTCCATGATTTTTCAATTTGTCGAATTTTTAAATTTTAGATTTTTTGTTTTCTTTGATGTTTTGAGTTCTCGATCATTCGATTTTCTGAGTTTTCAGGCTTAGATTTTTTTTGTTGTTGAATTCTTGGATTTTTAAAATTTTTGTTTTTTAAATTTTCCTATTTATCAACTTACTGGGATTTCCATGTTTTGATTGTTTGATTGTTCAATTTATCGATTTTTTGAATTTTTAGTTTTTCAATTTATTAACTTTACGATACTTCAGTTTTGCTCGATTTCGATTTCTCAATTTTTCGACATATTACTATTCTTCGATTCTTCATATTTTCGGTTTCTCGAATTTCCTCATTTTTCGATTTCTCAATTTTCCGATATTTCAGTTTTACGATTTTTAAATTTTTTTATTTTTCAGTTTTCAATTTTTGACGTATCTAAATTTTTCGATTTTTCAATTTTTCGATTAACTGATTTTTTGATTTTCCCATTTCTCTATTTCTTGATTTTTCAATTCTTTCTTCAATGGTGATTTTTCAATTTTTCGATTTCTGAATTTTTCAATGTTTCAGTTTTGGATTTTTTCACTTTTCCGATTCTTCAATTTTCTTTCCATTTTTGTTTTTCAAGATTTCAGTTTTGAATTTTTTCACTTTTTCGATTTTTCAATTTTCCTTCCATTTTTCAGTTTTTCAGTATTTCAGTTCTGGGATTTTGCAATGTTTCGGTTCTTCAATTTTTTCATTTTAGGCGAATAAACTAATAGACGGACTTGATAAGCCTTGTTTGCTCTACAGTGTCTAAATTGTGTTTCAATAATATAATAATTATCTCGAATATTAAAATTAATATGTCAAAAGAATACCAGAAATGATTATTCTGTGCTGAAGGTATGTTGTGGGCCACCTGTCATAAATTATCATTAATCGGCATTATCGGCTTAGGATGTTTTTATGACCCACATCCGGTAGTCGTCTATCCCAGCGCGTCAGGTAGATTTAAAGAAGAATTGCTGGTTGCGTTTAAGGCAACAAATGGCGCCCAATTCAAACTTGTCTCTCGTCTAGCGTTCCCCCTTAACAACAATGTAATATTCGATCTATACATACATATACATTATAAACAGATTTATTTATAAATCTAAAAAAAATTCTAAATACAACTTGCGCGATTTTTTTTTGGATTTTTATCACGTCATGGATTTTTGAACTGTTATTTATGTATTCATGGTTTATTTTCTTTCAAAATTTTTGTTATTAAGTTTGAAATCAGTGCAAGAGAGAATATTGCACATATTTTATTAAAATAATAATAATAATAATAATAACCTTTATTGCTCATGTTATTATTTCATGTTACAATAATTTTCACATAATCTTGTAGAACAATCGATATTGATTAAAACTGATAATTTTGTCTACACACTTTAGCAATCTAGATGCTTCATCTAGGAAAAAATTGTTTCAAGAGGTCTGTCACCTGCCAGATAATAGTATCACTGTTTATTTAAAAGCGATCTATCAATTAATGACTAATATTATCAAAGGAATCAGGAGCTTAGTTCAAAGGTCAATTTATTTAAGGCACAAGTGGGATAAAAATAGTATTACTACACCAGCTTAACCTAATGATGCGCCAATTACCTATAACGTATAAAATTGTAATTTAAATAATAATAAAAAAAAAAAAAACGAATGCAGTATAAAGAATACCTTTCCAGAGAAAAGTTATAATTCTTTTGAAGTTACCCTCATATCATTTGCAAAATTTCACATTTTTTATGAAAAAAACGACAAAAAAATAGTCGTTAAGATATAAAAGAAAAGAAATAAAATTGTCTTCTGAACAATTTTACAACAGAGACAGTTCCTATTAACAACTTTTCAAACAATGAATAAATTGCAACCTTTCTCCAAATAAATAGGCGCTTCGCCCCTCTACTCTCACGCACTGTTTTTGCTAGATCACGCGCGACCTTTAGCATAAAAGGTGAAAATTTACATAAGTATTGTATTGAAGCACTTGAAGTTATCATCACAAGGACCTACTTTTCTATAAGGCGATAAAATCTCCCGGCTTATCAAACTTAAAATCTTAAAATAGTACTACAAGTGTAATTTAGTAATCTTTTATTAATTTTTGCACCCTAACACTATTAATATTTAAAATCAAAAAGTAACATCGGTATTCTCAGCAATCCAATCCAAGTAGCTTGTAACTCTTGTAAATGCTGAAGCATACCCTGGCAGACAATAAGTCATTCCGAACGACACAATCCCGATTTGAACCCCATCTACAACCAAAGGACCTCCAGAGTCTCCACTGCAAGACCCAGTCTTGTCGTTTCCAGATGTACAAACGATGGTCTCCTCAACTGGTCCAAAATCTTCCGCACATTCGTTGTTACTAATAACTCTGACATCCACGTAGTTCAACACGTCTGACAATGCGTTACCAAAACCGTCCGTCAAACCCCATCCACTAACTCTGGCAGTTTCTCCGGTATAGGTACTACTCGAATCTGTTGGCAGTACCACAGGGGAAATCGTGTCAGTAAAAGTCACAGCTTCGGGAAGCTGAATCACTGAGATATCATTAACAATTAGGTCATAGTCGAAATCGGGATGAACCGTCACGGTGGTACTTTCAATTTCGAGTTGTCCGTCCGAAGCTTCTGAAAGTTGGTGAGCTCCTAGTGTGACCACAGCTCTCGTCACACTACAAACATTTAAATAGAGAGAATTGTGACAAAGTAGTACTTACTCTTGGCCGCAATGTCCTGCCGTCAACACATAGTTCGCAGAAATGAGAGAACCACCGCAGTACCAGCCACCGTTGTCAGTGTACATCTCCAGAAAAACTTGGAAAGGTATGGAATGGGGTTCAGCTTCTTGACCGCCGATTATGTGAGGAGATGGTTTAGTTCTAATCTCACCAACTGGGTTCTTGTAAAGGTTTCGAAATTGCAGTTGTGCCCCCTATGTTGTCTCTTTGATTAGAAAATACCAAGAAAATTGTCACAATATTTACCTTAGGGGCGGCGGCTGCCAAAGCAACTAGCGCTAAGAAAACAATGCTTTTCATTGTTACTCAATTGTTTAAAAAAACAAAAAAAATGTGCTTATATAGTAAGTATGAGTACTTGTCATAGAGTTCGAAGACATGGATTAACGTTATCTAATGGTGCCATTGTATTATCGCCGGAAGATTAATCAAGCTTATGTTTTCGCAATCAAGTCAAGTCAATACGGTGAAGTACCACCCGAAAATTACTTGCCCTAAATCGATTAACCCTTTCTTTGCTGCGCGGTACTGTTGATGCAATCGCAAAATATCGACATTGTTTGCACTTTCAAGAGTGTACTTCAAAAAATACGTGCCGTCTGAAATTTTGATAAGGCCATCGATTAATTCAAAAGAGAAAAGTCCACTAAAAGCGATAAATTAAAAAATTACTACGATTATAGAACCGATTTTTATCTTTTGTGGCAGTACCGGCGCCATAGATCATAGACAAATTGTGTGGGCTAATCAAACTCAAAAAGTTATTTCGACAGAACTTCCCTCGCTTCTGAAGTACACTCTAGCAAATGCTGTTTCCCTGAAAAATTATAAAATTTGATTTTGCGAAATTTTACTTTTTCGTGGAGTAAAAACAATATAAAAGGTACTAGTCACAGTGTAATAGAAAAATAGAAGGTTTCACGTTCTTAAAAAAAACAGTTGGAAGCCTCGAGAAGATTTAATATTAAAAAAAAAATACTTGGGGGACCCGAGAAGGTTTAGCCTTATTTAAAAAAGGACAGTTGAGACCCTCGACAAGGTTTCACTTTCTTAAAAAAAGACAGTTGGAACCTCCGAGAAGGTTTCACATTTTAAAAAAAACTTTTGGCTCCACCGAAAAGGTTTCACAATAAAAAAAAATACATTTAGTACCCTCGGGAAGGTTTCACATTCTGAAAAAAATACATTTGGGGTCCCCGAAACGGTTTCATATTCTTAAAAAATGACAGTTGGGACCCCCGATAAAGGTTCACATTCTTAAAAATGACATTTGGGGCAATCGAGAAGGTTTCACATTAAAAAAAAGACAATTTCGGCGCACGAGAAGGTTTTACATTTTTAAAAAAGATAGTTGGGGCCCCCAAAAAGGTTTCACCTTCTCAAAAAAGCAATTTGGGGCCCCCGAGAAGGTTTTGCATTTTTAAAAGAGCTAGTTGGGAGCCCTGAGAAGGATTCACATTAAAAAGAAAGACAATTGGGGCCCCCGAGAAGGTTTTAGATTATAAAAAAAACATTTGCCGCCCCCGAGAAGGTTCTACAATTTTAAAAACGATAAATGGGACCCCGAGAAGGTTTCACATTTTTAAAAGAATACATTTGGGCCACCGAGAAGGTTTTTTATTTTAAAAAAAGATAGTTGGGGCCCCCGAGAACGTTTCACCTTCTTAAAAAGACATTTGGGGCCCCCGAGAAGGTTTTAGATTTAAAAAAACGGCAGTTAGGAAACCCGAGAAGGTTTCACATTAAAAAAAAGACAATTGGGGCCCCCGACTAGGTTTTAGATTTTCAAAACAGACAATATGGGCCCTCGAGAAGGTTTCACATTCTCAAAAAAAAACATTTGGGGTCCCCGAGAAGGTTTTACTTTTTTAAAAAAGGCAGTTGGGAGTCCCGAGAAGATTTCACATTAAAAAAAAGACAATTGGGGGCCCCCGAGAAGGTTTTAGATTCTAAAAAAACATTTGGCGCCCCCGAGAAGGTTCTACAATTTTAAAAACGATAATTGGAACCCCAGAGAAGGTTTCACATTTTTAAAAGAATACATTTGGGCCCCCAAGAAGGTTTTAAATTTTTAAAAATAACTTTCTTGTTGTAAAAAGAAATCTACACATATTCAAACAACAAGCCAAAATGTAAGCCCGCCCACCCACCTTGTCTCAATTGTGATGATTTTTTTATTCGCCGTGAACCAAGGGGCTTAACTGTAAAATACTTACTTCTTTACAAGAAATTAAAAGCATTTCTGAGTATCAAGTTGTTCAAAGAATACCAATGTAGGATTAAGAAAAAAAAACAAAATATAAGCCCGCCCACCCGCCCTATCAGAATTGTGATGATTTTCTTTATTCTTAAAAACTTAAAACACATTTAAAATGGTAAATTTTGTAATGAAATAAGGATTTTGCACTTAAGCTCCGCCTCTCGGCTCACGACGAATAAAAAAAGTCATCAGAATTGAGACAGGGCGGGTGGGCGGGGCTTATATTTTGCTTTTTTTTTCTTAATATACAAAGCCATCTTTTAAAGAGAAATTTAAAGCATGGTTAAAATGGTAAATTTTTGCAAGGAAATATTCATTTCGCAATTTTGGGGCGGAGCCCAATTGCAATATTTCCTTATACAAATTTTCCATTTTAAATAAATGTTGTATGTTTCATGTTGCGAAAAGAAGTCTACACATACTAAAACAAAAAGACAAAATGTATGCCCGCCCACCCGCCCTGTCTCAATTGTGATGAATTTTTTTTTGCGCCCTGAACCAAGAGGGCAGAGCTTAACTGCAAAATTCTCATTTCTTTACAAGAAATTAAAAACATGTTTTTGGGTATCGATTGTTCAAAGGATACTGTGTATATTAAGAAAAAAAGGCAAAATTTTAACCCCGGCCACCCACCCGTCTCAACTGTGATGATTTTTTCTATTCATAGAAACTTAAAACACGTTTAACATGGTAAATTTATCTAAGAAAATATGAAGTTTACAATTAAGCTCCGCCCCTCGGCTTACGACGAATAAAAAAAAATCATCAGAATAGAGATAGGGCGGGTGGGCGGGGTTTATATTTTGCCTTTTTTTCGTAATACACATGGCCATCTTTTACCAACAAGAAATTTAAAACATGCTTAAAATGTTAAATTCTTGTAGAGAAATATGGATTTTGCAATTAAGCTCCACCCCTCAGCTCACGACGAATAAAGAAAATCATCACAACTGCGATAGGGCGGGTGGGCGGGGCTTATATTTTGTTTTGAATGTGGAGCAAAACCTGGCTTGTTTTTTGAAACTTGCAGCTATTCAGAGTTATTCAAAATATTTGTACACGTAAGAAAAACAAATAATTTACATAGAAGTAATTGAGGAAAGCATTGCATAAAAAATATGTGTATCATAGCTGACTAATTAATACTAATAACTTTTTGTATGTCACATTACATGAATTATATTTAAATAGGTAGGGAGCAATTGTGGTAACAGAAAAAATTAACTACGACAATACGATCTAATTAATCTGTATGTAATTTATGTTGTGCTTGGTATTTTTCTATTTTGAATTTTTCTGATTTTGTAAAAAAATATGCGCTATTTTTTTCATTCGTCGTAAGCCGAGGAGAGGAGCTTAATTGAAAAATCCATATTTCTCTAGAAAAATTTACCATTATGAACATGTCTTATGTTTTTTTTTAATTATATGTAATCTTTTCATAACAAGATACTTAAAACATGTTCAAAATGGCCAACTTTTGTAGGGAAATATGGATTTTGCAATTAAATTTCGCTTCTTTGGTTTTCGATGAAATAAAAAAATCATCACAATGGAGATAGGGTGGGTGGGCGGGGCTTATATTTATCCTTGTTTTTTTAATATTTGTAATTTTCTTTTCATAACAAGAAACTGAAAACATGTTCAAAATAATAAATTTTTGCTCACGAGGAATGAAAAATTCATCACAATTGAGATTGGGGAGGGTGGGTGGGGTATAATCTTTACCTTTTTTTTCTCTTAATACAGTTTTCTTTCAACAATAGAATACTTAAAATATCAAGTTCACCATTTGATACTTCAAATAATCTATTGTTGAGAGAAAACTATATGAAGACTAAGCCCCACCAACCCGCCCCTGTCTCAATTATGATGAATTGCAAAATTCATATTTCGCTATAAAAATTTACCATTTTGAAGATGCTTTAAGTTTCTTGTTATGAAAAGACTATTAAATATATTCCAAGGGGTCCCAAGGTGTCACATTTTTAAATAAAGAGGGCCACATTTTCGAGAAAGTGGGGTAATTTAATTTCATCAATAAAAAATTTGTTACATCATAAAAATAGATAAAAAATTAAGGAAAAACTCGAAGCGGATTCGTGCACCACACTTATAGGACTGTATTGTTGTATAACAGTTAAATCAAATAAACATAGAATTCTTTGAAATGACGTTATCAAATTGTTGGTGGGGATGATTAGCAAAAATTTTGGTTAGCATTTAACCATCTACATGATATTTTTAATATACCTACTTACATACAAAATTGAACAATCGGTACAGCAGTTTCGGAGGTTACGTGTCTAATAAAAATGGATACAGACACCAGACAGACAAACAGACAGACCAACGGAAACGGGAAACTACTTTTTTCGTACTCCTGGTTCCAAAATTCGCACAAATCACTCTTAGGAATTACAATCTTTTTAGAACAAAATTTGTCAGTTCAACACTCGGACTTCATACAAAAAAGAACTGAAGATGTCCTAGTAAGGTCAAGTAGTACCAAAGTCATTGTGCAGGAAGATTATTTCTGAATGATTTTTAACAGAATTTTCCATTTATTGTTTCAATCAATAGCGATGGAAGTGCCTACTGGTACTAACCGCTTATGTTTACTAGATCAAGCTATCTTAAAAAATCTGTGGAGCTATCTGATGTTTTAAAATTGCTTGAAACTATAATCCTGTAAAAAGTGCGAGAACTGTTGGTGTTATTTCCACAAATGTAGAATCATGTTTCTTAGAATTGTTACTTATTCGATTTTCCGAACCTTTCCTAAAGGTTACTGATCATTTCAGTTGGATCTTGTTTTCGTAATTGGACAGGAAGTGAGATAAGTACCCTAATCTTTTCACAAAAGCATGTTTAATTGTTTCAACAATAAAGTGCTTTTATTTGATAATTTTAACAATAATGACAATGTCGTGAAGTATTTTGAATAAGTAGTTCATTCTGGTAGTACTATTGTACATGTAGATAATGTATCGAGTGGATTTTGTAGTATAGGAGAAGTGGGTAAAACTGATAAAATATCGCATGATAGAGTGATTTTTTAGCCATCTGTCTTTTGAGGTTTTATCAAT